ATGCAGATTTAATCCATTATAATCGAAAAGAGACTCTGTTTTAGGTGTTGGGTAGACAGTGGCGATCGGTCTGTGCATCCGTTTGATGAATTGACAAACTACCGAATACAAGCATCCTTCAAAAATAAGAAAGATAACGTGTCTTACAAAGTGGACGGAAGCCGTTTCACACTAGATTTTAAGACTTTGATAGAGACAGACCTCACGACTGGCCGTACAACGCAGATTATCAGAGAAGAAAGAGGTCAGTTAAACAATTATCTTTAGACTCATTGTCCCAGGCCTCATGGCTTGCTCAAATGCACTGTTAGTGAACACAAATCGCTACCAATATCACAGTGAGACAGTTTTGTTTGTAAAATCTAAAAAAACAAATTTTTTGGTCTTTTTTGCAATTATTTATAATTAGTTATAAACTTTGATGTGCTTCGGTAATCCCTAATGAAACATCTCATCTGTACATCAGATGTTCAATTCAACATTAAAGATGAATGTATATTTAAAGATAAAGTAAGCTTATTTCAAAACGAAAAACCAGGATAATCTCAACTTAAATTCTTAAACTTACATTTAAAGCAATGTTTACAACAGATATTGACTATTTCAGACCCATCCCTGCCATCCCACTGGTTACCCCAACCACGCGAAAACGACGTTCCTGTAGATGTACATCAAGTTGATATAAAGGAGGATATGACAGAGTTTGATGAAATCGCTGCAAAATTCAATGCTGCATTTGATACGGAAGGGGTTTCAAGGAAACAAATAATTCAGATCCAGAGAATACAGAACCCCCGCCTGTACAGACAGTACAAAGAGCAGAGTGACAAATTGGATAAAGATAATAAATCTGGGTATGTACAGTATTTTAAATACCCAGCCGTGAAAAAAGTGCACCTTGTTTTTCATGTTTAATAATTTAAGTTTTTTCCATTTACACATTATGGTGACAATTTGGTTATAGTGTTAGCAGTTCTCAGTAGACTGTGTGACCGACAAGTCCCTAGTGTTGGATTTAAGGAATTGAAATTTTTAAAATTATTTAACATGAATGACAAAACAACACAGGTAAACCTCTACTGAGTACTCCATGGCTTAGATTTTAATATTCATCCAAAGAAGTTGCAGTAGGCTGGACTCAAATTAATGGGGGAAAGGATAGAGACATAAAAACCAAACTAGTTTTAATAGCCAAAAATAGACTTAAAAGCCAATATGAATACTCTTTGCTATAAGACATGCACTGCAATGCAAATTACACTGCATTTATGTAACATGTGTATGTATGATGTATGATTGTGGTTGTAGAGAAGTGTGTTCGTGACTTATCGTTTGTGTCCGTGTGTCTTCGTTTCTATATAAAACACGCCCCTCTTTGTTTCGCGGCACATTCGTTTCTTGTTTCTGCCATGTTCACACACAGGTATGATAGACTTGATTGGTTTACTTTTCATTTTCTTTGTGTTTAGATTTTGTATTCTCTAAGTTTAGTTTGATCATTTCAGTGCTTATCATTTATTTTCATCCTTACTTAGTTTAGAAATTTAGTAAGTATTTTTAGTTCATTAATGTTATTCATTTTCTTTGTATTTAGATTTTGTATTTCTCTAAGTTTAGTTTGATCATTTAAGTGCTTATCATTTATTTTCATCCTTATTTAGTTTAGAAATTTAGTAAGTATTTTTAGTTCATTAATGTTATTCATTTAAATTTTTCTAAGTTTGTTCAGTTCTGCATTAAGTTCATTTTATTTATTTGTAAATTATTAAAAGACATTCGTTTCTTGTTTCTGCCATGTTCACACACAGAGTACACTCGGGTTCGTAAATAAAGTATATTGAGAGCTGTTACATTTTTATTTTCATTTTCAATCATTAGTTACTATTTTCACTACTCTTTCCCTGCAGCAATAATGAGATGTCGCTATTCCATGGTACGTCAGAAGATAAGTGTGAGCCCATCTCCCACCACGGGTTCAACAGGAGCTTCAGTGGAGATAACGTTGGTAAAAAGCAAACATTATACTTGTTTTGGAGAATTGTAGATGCAGTGGCGGATTTAGAGGGGCCGGGATGGGGTCCTGATCGTCTCCCCTTCGTTTTCTGAAAAAAAAAATCACACCAATATTCCTCTCTTGAATAAAAATTTTGACAAGCTGAATCATAGTTCTAAACCGTACCAAATGGCACCTTTTACCCTCCAAAGCACCAAAATTGTTCGTGGCACTTGAGCAAGCCCCGAACCCACGCTTAGGTGGCGCTGGTCGGCTTTGCTTCCGAGACCTGTCATTCATGAAAACGGACTCTCTTCAAATATTCCTGGATCCGCCCCTAATATGCGTAAGTTCACCTGGTTTGAATTGAAGCGTTTTATTTAACCCTTAAAGGCCCAGTGGGTCACCCGTGACCCACAAGTTTCAGACGTCCCCACCCACACCACACAAAATGAATCCACTTCATTTTGCCATTTCCTATTCCCCTATGTCCTAGTTTATCCTTGTTGACCAATTAGAAACTAGGTCATTATCCTTCACTTCACTCAAATATGTCTTCCTCCATAAGAAGGCGCTAATGCTATTTCTAGTGGGTTTGTATGTGTCTGTATTGTCATATCAAGGTAAATAATAAATTCAATATTCTGGCTTTTCATTCTAAATACAATAGCCTTAAACCACACAGAAGTGTTTTATAAAGTTGTTAGCTACACTTCCATGTTTGAATTTATTTTTTAATGTTGTTATTGTAATAAAAAGAGGTTTTTGATTTTTTGAAACTTGGTCATTTGTTTACCTCTAAAGCCCAGTGGGTCACCGGTGGAACATAGCCAAAAACTAGGTCAATGTTGCCCAAAATATTTTTTTTCAACATTTATTGATAAATGTGCTTATTACAACCCTATTACCTAGCTATTAACATTTTCATGCAAGAAAAACATGTCTTGGGCCTTTAAGGGTTAAAAGACGTAATTGATACATTATTTCCCACCAACACAGTGCGAGAACGAAAATGGCGTCAGACAGTATCGGCTGTTACCTTAACCGTTACCTTAGAGACCATTCCCAGAGACTATCGTACTAACTTTGGATCGAACTATCTCAAAGGGGGTTCTCGCTTAATTGCAATTAACTTGAGCGGCTTAGATATCTGCCACGCCTACTGAAGCTGATAGGGGGTAATTTTCAATCATTAAGCAGCTTTAGTAGACGTCTCAGACATCTGAGCCACTTAAGCTGAAAATAATTTAGCGAGAATTCCCGTAAAGATGGACCGATCCTGTTACATCGATCTAAGTCCCTGGGGAGTCTCAATAAATTGCTACCAACTAACCGGCTGAAATGGCTGTCACACCTACCTAATCAGCTAGGGGGTGAAGATAATTACCCCTAACAGCTTTACTAGGCGTGACAGACATTTAAGCCGGTTAAGTTGATAGCAATTAAATGAGACTCCCCATGGAGATAGATCGATCCAAATATCTGTGGGAATGGTCTCTTCTCCTAATAAACGGGTGGGTTTATTTTGTTGACAGGTGCTATTTACGGCAAAGGGGTTTATTTCGCCAAGAACTCCACCTATTCGGCCGACCCCAAGTACTGCACACCAAATTCGGCAGGGGAGCAGTTCATGTTCGTTGCAAAGGTACTGGTCGGGATCTACATTAAAGGACGCCCAGATATGAAGACTCCACCCGCTATAGACCCTAGCAAACCACTCGTGACCTACAACTCTACAGTGGACGATGAGCAGTCTCCGACCATTTTTGTGATATTTCACGATGCACAGGCTTACCCGGAGTATCTGATTAAGTTTAAAGATTGAATTTTATCTGGAAAAGATTAAATTTGATTTGAGTGAGAAAATAAAAGGGATGTATATATTCTATAAATGGATGAACCTTATGGCAAAGAGCGTGCTTGCAATCATTCCAATTTTCACTTTTTAAGAGATGAAAGTTATTGCAATGTCAATTATACACTAGGCAATACAAATGTTGTGTCCAATGTTCATTGAGATATATCACGAAATGTTTAAAAACGGGCATGATCGAAGTTTTCTCTAGAAGTTCACTTGATTTGTTGTTTTTTTAGATGTGTAAAATAGATGTTGTTGAAGTTATCAACGCGAACATCTTTCTTCTTTTTTATAAGATCAGATTTATCAATCATCGAGTTTTTGAAAATGCATTATCAAGCTACGAACTGATATTTACCCGATTATTATTGGGTTTACATTCCAGAGACTCAAACCCTGAAGCAAGTCTACATATACGTGCCTTTTATTATTTAAATAAAAACTTAGAGCACTGGCATACTTTCTGTGTCTCATTTTGTTCACGCGTTTCAGCGGATACCCCACTCTACCGCATTATGTCAGTACAAATGTATCTGATACTGGAAACAGCAGTAGTATACGGATAGCAGAGAGTTTCCATGAGTTTCCTGGAACAAAGTGTGTCTTCGTTCTAATCAAGGTCCAATCCAAGTAATATGTATGATTTTATCGTCAATCCATTGCAGTTACATAATAGATGACACCGTTTAAATGATCATTGCGAACTAGTCGAAGCTTTTGTTATCTTAAGTAAAGGATTGCCACACATGATGTAAATATTTGTTCTCAGACATCGCGAGAGTCATTAAGTACAGTAGCTTGCACATGCGCACGCGTAAAGGTATTACAATGCCAGGCAAATGTTTTGTCTAATATAAATTGTTTTAGACACGGTTTGTATCATATGTATAGGAAGGGGTATTTACATCTTGGGATTGGCTATTGTACCCGTGCCAATTGTTAGGTGAAGTGGACCTGGCAGATATAGAAAAATGCCTTATAAAGAATATCTGTCACAAACACGTACGTAGTATCACAATTTCTTTCTTAATTAGAGCAGCGTCTCTTCTCTCAACCCACACCCATCCCTCGCCATCCACCCTGAACTCCTACAGTGCGGAATTTTCATTTGTGGACTTTGACCCTTGATTAATCACCACTTCATGTAATTTGGTTTTCGGTGGGGCAAAATTTCATGTGTCATCATTTTCAAAATGTCTCGCTTGTGCAAATGTGCCTTGTCTTTGGTAGTTTTGTTATATGTAATAATACAGGTAAAATGTAACGCGAGGAAATCGTATACTGCCGCTGTATATGAGCATGCGGTATTCACGCTACCACTCGCTGAGATCGAGAATAAGACGGTAGCTCTCTCCGTTATGAAACAGAATCTTCAAGTTTATGAAACAGCAACGGCAGAGGCAAAGAAAAAGGTAAGTAGTAGGTAGGGACGTTAAGTCCCAGGATTTTTAGATTTTCAGAACTGTTGGCCGGCAATTTTATTAAAATGACGCAAACGAACCAAATTTAGATTTAAATATGTCAATGAAGTAACAAACGGTACCTTGAGTACATTTAGACCTGACCTAATGAAGTTCGAATTCATGATAGAATATTGTGATTAAATCATGCTGAAGACTAGAGGATTCATAAAATCGTTGAGAGCAGGTATTTAATAAAAAAGGTTACACCTTCAACCCTCGCTTCATTAGTTTTATCAAGACGATTTACGTTGTTTCATACTTAAATATTGTCTTAAAGAATATGTTGGTCTATTCGTTTATTTGAAGTATTCATGTATTGGTATTTGGTGAATTTTTTTTTTTTTTTTTTTTTGCCTCATCACGTCCATGATATGCGTGTTGTTGTTTTTTCACACCCTCTGCATTCCTTTCTTTATATTACAGCAACAATTAAATCGACGGCTCACGATTTGTCAACAAAGAATATATGATTTACCTTTGTAATGAATTTGTGCTAAATAAATTTTTCATCATCGAAGTTCAGCTGCCTTTCCAGTTTTCTCACGTGATACTGAATTTAATTCGATTATGTCTTATGATTATCAATTCATAATGACCCATTTATTAACACTGAGTTAGATGAAGCTGGGAGTGTTTGATATTTCTATCAACAAACATAGCGCGCACCGCTAAGAGTGCACGCATTCGGCCAATCTCGGTCGAACCCTAATTTTATTTACTGCAACAGCCGAGGTTTACCGAGTCGCACTGAGCCTAGTACACAAGAACCAAGATTAGTACGTTTCTTGAATCAGAGGGTAACTCTGTCACTATACAGCTGTCAATAATGCTGAGTAGGTTATTTCCATTATGCACTTATGTTTATTTGAAAGGATGGTTTTGAATAGGAACAAGGGATTTTGTGGTACGCTACACAATGAATAAAAGGTCAGTTTGCCATTGCATCATAGAGGCTTGATTGAACAAAAAAGCACCGACTAATCAAATATATCAGAAGGGGAACGTTTTAACTTTCAGCTATCCCAGTTGCCCCCCCCCCGCCCCCCCCTGCCCCCCCCCGAAAAAAAAAAAAAAAAAACTATATAGTTAACTGAAGCGCATGGTTACAAGAACAGTGCTTATTTTTTATTATATATATTTTTTCCAAATGTTTATTTATTTTATTTTCTTCTTATTTTTTTCTTGTTGAAAGAGTCAATGTATACCTCTAACCTTGTGGCTATAATTTTATCGTGGTGTTACAGATAAATAAATAAATAAATAAATAAATATGAATAGCTTTAAGGTGGTGTAGCACAGAAAGTATCCGATTTCTCCGAAGGACAGATGTCCCCCGTTATTATTATTATTATTATTGTTGTTGTTGTTGTCATCTGTAAACGTATGTTCAGTCGCCTTTACAATGCAAAATACAAGTAAAAACTGAAAAAATTATAAAAATATTTTGATTTATGCAAAATTAACAATTAGTAATTTCATTAAATACCAACTTCGGGATAATTAAGCTGACACTGATTATTCATTATAAGTGTTAAAATCATAGTTTAATTTAATTCTAAAACAATGCCTTTGTCTAACAGGGTGCTGAAATCATAGTGTTCCCAGAGGATGGGTTATACGGCTTCGAATTCACTCGTGAAGTATTCCATTACTTCACCGAGGACATCCCCAACCCTGAGACCCAACCAGGGTGGAACCCTTGTAAAGACCAACATCCCGGAGATCCAACAAACACCCCAGTGCAATACTGGCTCAGCTGTATGGCACTGAACAATAGTATATACCTTGTTGCCAATGTCGGCGACGTGAAGTACTGTAACGTAAAGTCGGACAAATTGTGCCCAGCTGACGGGCGCTATCAATACAACACCAACGTAGTCTACGACCCAGAAGGCAGATTAGTCGCAAGATATCACAAGCAAAACTTGTTCATGGGTGAAAAGCTAAAGTATAACCAGCCTCATCAATGTGAGTACACCACGTTTACCACGCCCTTCGGGAAATTCGGTACCTTCACCTGCTTCGATGTCCTCTTCCGCGAGCCGCCGATCTCCCTGGTAGAGAACTATGGCGTGGATAATGTGGTTTTCCCTACTGCTTGGATGGACGTTCTTCCATTATTTGCTTCTGTTGAATTTCACCAGGCATGGGCAATGGGTATGGGAGTGAACTTTCTCTCAGCCAACACTCACAGAGCCAGTCTTCGTATGCATGGGAGTGGGATATTCACTCCGCAGGGAGCTGTTGTCTATACACATGATACAACCACCGAACAAGGAAGACTTTTGGTGGCCAAGGTGCCAATACTGAAAAGAACGCCCATAAAAAGTACATACAGGCCATATAAAAACATGCCGCTGCCAACTGATCACGAGGCCCAAACTGCAATCAAGTTTCAAGCTGAGGTCTTCTCGGACTTATTTGATTTTGTCACCCTGCCAAAGCCAAGCGGCAGTTTAACCATTTGCCAGAAGGCCGTCTGCTGCCAATTGAATTACACTTTCGAAGATTCGCACTCTGGCGGCCTGTATGCTCTTGGCGCCTTTGACGGCCTGCACACCCGCGAAGGACAATATTACCTACAGATATGTACGCTACTGTCCTGTGCTAATTCTTCCACCGATTCCTGTGGCCAACCTACCAACATTGCTAAATCACGTTTTAAGAATTTGTCACTAAGTGGCATTTTCAACACAAAATATATTTTCCCGGAATTCTTGACAACAGATGGAACAGGTCATGACCTTGCCAATGGACAGTGGCTTTATGATGATGGCATGATTAAAGTCAACAATACTACTGTAAAACCTCTTCTGTCCGCAACGCTCTTTGGGAGATGGTATCAAAGAGACAATGACTTTTACCTTACTGGTGCCTCAGCAAGGAAATCGCCAATGGTGTTGGCTCTTAACCTTGTCTTATATAACGTGTTGTTTAACTTGCTTTACTGAACCCTATTTTCGTTTTCTTGTCAGGAATGATGAGCACATTAAACAAATTTGTAAGTTAAAATACTCGGTACTGTTTGTGTAATTGCAAGAGAGCAAAAGTTTAGTAGTTTGGGTTTTGCCATATACTGGTATCTTATAATATTTTTAAAATATTCAACATATACTTTAGTATAGATGTAGAGCAGTGTATGCATCCAATATCACATTTGCCACTCCAGACATTTTACAATGACTTTCGTGTGCTGTCTGTTTTATAACTTATAGTGCTGGCAATCATGACAGTAATTAACATGATTTAGAAAAATGTTTTTATAAAATCGGTTATAAATACGCCGATCCGGATAACTAATACTCTTATTAGATTGAACACTCCTTGGTCGTGTTGGAGTATACCCTAGGTCGTGTGATAACTGATAATAAAGTATCCATATGCATCTGGTTATTTTCTCAGTCACTCCTTGTAAATGGGCGATGTCTTGTTTCTCACTATGCTTGATCTCTTTTGTAGCCGGTTTTTGTAATTCCTGAAAGTATACCCAATAACACATTGTCAAAATTATGTGTTTTTTGTGTAATGCTATATCGTATGTAAATTATGTATAAAAAAGGGGGGAAAACGTTTATAATGAGAGATAGAAACCTTATAAATCAAGATATAATCTTTGGTGCCCTAATCTCAAGTGACACGACTTCAATCCGTGTAATGCATATCAGGGCAGGTCCCATAGCGCTCGTCATTCCATCGTCCATCATGAAGTTTTTGGTTGTTGTTCCTCTTCTTCTGGCCTTCGGGGACCTTGCCTATGGTATAGTATGTATGCCCGAGATGTGCAAAAATGTGGAGCCTCTGGACGCCACACAGTGTAAGGGTGGGGTGATCACAAGAGGTGGTTACTGCGGTTGTAATGATGCCTGTGCTAAGGTAAGTGTTTCGAGCAGTGAGCGCCCTTTGTCCACACCATGTTGGTTGAGTATTCATCAACCGCGCTCCAGCTAACAGGCATATATTGTGATAGAAAACCGCTAAATACAAACATATTACCCGAAAAACATGTACTACCTAAAACTTATAAATATAAATTATGATGGTAAAAAAGCAAGCAATGAAAACTTTGGATTTGCATTTCAAAATCGACATAATAATCATGGACGTTAAATTTGTTATTCACGCACAAAACATTTTGAGTTGTACGTTGTTGTGTCAGGTTGAAGGTGAGACTTGTCAGGCGCCAAACGGTTTCCTTGGTCCGAGTATGAACTTGGGCCGCTGTGACAACGGACTGGAGTGCGTTCAACAGGCAAATGCCATGCGCGGTGTTGGAAAGTGCACCATGTTACTTTTGAGCAAGCGCGAGGGAGGTAAAGAAAAATATATGTTTTACATTCTTGTTATATTTTGCTTTTATTTTAACACATTATCTGGTGAAACCACGCAAACTGTTTTAAGACATGAAAAATGTAATAAAGTGGGGAAAGTACCGATGTCGTTTGTGTACATTATTGCTAAATTTCGTATGTGCGAAATAAGTTTGAGCAAATGGTATAGCAAATTGCTTTTCTTCATTTTAAAAATACTTAAACATTCAAAATTTCCAAAATCATTTTTCACTTGAACATGAGACTGCGTGACAAAATTATATTTAACATTAACCTTTGGATTAAATGCCAAATAAATGTTGGTTAAAGATGTAACTACTCTTTTTTCTATCGAATTTCAAAAGAGCTGACAAAATGCCAGCAAGAGTACAGAATTCGTCAGATATCCATGGTGATATGGCAAGGAATGAGAATTCCAAAATGTGACAAGGACGGACTTTACGAGACAGAGCAGTGCAATAATCTCAGTAAGTTTACATTTCTATACTAAGTACATTTACTTGGTATAAGAAAGAAAGGTTCAGATCCCATATTAACCATAATTTTACCACACCATTAGCTGTGTCAAAATACATGTATATGTTACGCAATATTCATAAAAATTTCATAGAGTAAATAAGATTGTTTTCTAAATATTTTCAAATAGTAATACTAATTAAAGTTAATACAGGTGTAGCGGTCAGACATGTGGCAAAGTCTAAAATTCCTTTACCGTTTTGTTTCAGACGAATGCTACTGCGTGGACAAAGTCAACGGTGTGGAGATCGAGGGAACAAAAGCCCTTGGTGCCGCAAAATGTTGAGCAAAACTTCCACCAGCAATCGTTTGACTTACTGTAAAATCTAAGAAACAGGAATATTGATAAATAATTACGATAAACCCATGAACCTTTGCGTCTTTGCTCTAAAGAAATTCACCAATGTATCACAGCAAACACCCACACACATATACACTTGAAACCGACCCAATGCATTATACTGATACAATGGCGGATACAGGAAGCACAACAGCCCACGTGACCTCCGCCTTTAATGTCCACGAAAATCTTTTCGTAGAACTTTTCAGAGAACCATCTCCATCTAATTTATTGTAACATGTATTTGAGTGCAAAAATCTCATTTGTATTGTCTTTATGACTACAATTAAAATATGCTTTGATAACACACAGAAAATACGTAATTTATAACACAATGATTTCTTATATCCCTTATATAACGCTGAAATATCCGTACTACGTATGACAGACATTGGCAGAGATAAGACCCTCGAATATGAAATAAAACATATATAAGTATACTGCATTTAGTTTAAAGTCATCCTATTACAGTCAACTTTACCGTATGTTTTATAAACACTTGCTTCAGTTACTATGTAAGAGATCATAGTATGACAATTACCATTCAGTTCTTCAAAAACGTGCACGTGCAAAAGCGACCTGCACTCTATGGCTGGCAAGACAGGGCCGAAAGGTTTTATAGGTTATTTTTCGTCTTCGTGAGGAGGATGTATTTTGAACACCATGTAAGCACCCCAGTATAACAAGTTGAAGATTAGGAACAAGATAGGGAAGAGACCCTTAGAAACTTTATCCACGTGTTGTGCCGTCAGCTTCCTCTTTGCTGCACAGCAAACTGTTTGTTTTTGCTTGTCCAAAGAAGACATGCTGTTCAGTGCGTAATTCACTTCGTGGGTTTCTTTGTGCTAAATAGAATGAAATGGATGATATCTTTAATCAATAATTAGAATTATAAACAAAATAATAAAACATCTTACTTCTTTTAGATATACATTACGAAAATTTTGAAGTAATTATCAAATTGGAAAATTTGTGTTACAAAAGCACATTTTAAAAATATACCGACATCGACATGCAACAACATATAAAGAAATTAAATAAAAAGTCAAGCATACGGTGGAATGGGTTACCTTAGATGAATTTTCTTTTTTCCGCTCTTGTGGTTGCAAGATCTTTTTCTGCAAAAGCACGCTGACGAGGGCATATTCCAACATAGATCCCATTGAGAAACAAAGGCAGGCACAAAGCCACGTGTCCATGGCTTTCACGTACGAGACTCTGGGCAAGCGAGACTGCAGAGACACTATCTGGGTGACGATCGTCAAAACCGTGATGACGCAGATGGCTACCCGGGCAGGGGTAGAGTTTGGGTCGATCCAAAAGCTGAGGAAGGACAACATGACGACGACAATGCTAGGAACGTAGATGTTGAGAAGAAAAAAACGTATGTCGCGCTGAATCTCCACTGTGGCATACAAGCAGGCGTAAGTACCTTAAGAGACAAAAGGAACATGGCAAATTAGGTCTTCCGTACTCATGCCTATATAGTTATAATGTTACCCTTTTACACACTTGCGTTTCTTGCAGAAAGTAGAAAGTGGTATTGTGTATATTTAAGCAATGTTGCCAAGCCCCATACTCTAAGATCTTCATTTTTTAATCAAAAACCAAAGAAAAAAATTAAAATTCGAGGATGAATAAAAACGGATTAAATCGACAGGAGTATGTTATTAACACATTCGACCCAAGAACTATATAAAACGTTTACTGGAGAGTGAGAGAGAGAAAACACGTACCTATTGGGTACACAGCTTTGCATTCCTTTGCATTGACCCCAGTTAGTTCAAACTCCGGTAGGTATGTATCTTGAGTACTGACAAGTATTGGATTGTTTGCCCAGGTGAATATCACGTGATCAACTGGATAGGCGACTTGAAGAAAAAAGACATACATTGTGCTCAAATGTATTAAAGACAAACAAGGAAAGGTATGCTGAAATATTGCTAAACATACTCCACTGGATAGAATTTGAATGGTACACCATAATTATATCAAAAGAAAGATATTCACATACAGCACTTCTTTCAGTTTATGATCTCACTGAAAGTTAGCAAGCAATATGCATCTACTTAAAATATAATAATCCAATGAAGTATTCAGAAGGGGACTCTATTTCAGATTCCTGTCACCCCATATTTGATTCCTAAGACATCTTCCAGGCACCCGCCACTAGGGGTTTTCTCAATCTACCCTGGCCGTTACAAAATTGGATGAAAGACCTTCGTCCAGTTCTGTAACAGCGAGATCCCTGGTAAAGGGTACCGATTAGTACGATAACGTTTAAAAGGTAACCAAAGAAGAAACGATCGACATAATTTCGGGAGATGGTGAAATAAAGATTTTCCTTAGCTTGATCTATAATCGCTTAATGTTTTCCGGTGCCACCGAATGTTTTGCACTATAGTATACTTACAATTTTCCATTTGTATTTTACATGTTTGGTTGTCCATGGGAAACACAGAGAAATCATAGTGACATGCCAACACCAGAGCAAGCCTGCAAGGAAGCAAAGACAATCAACATCGACAATTACAACAATAAAGATGCTTTTCTCATTTTAGATAATATAACAATATTATAATATTAGATAATATTACTGGTGAAAGATTTGCAAATTACAATGTACATTGTCGTTCTATTGATTTGAAGAACGAATAACATAGGACGACATGTAAAGAAGCGTAGTTACATAAGAAATCGATTTTTCACACAGAACAACCAATTGCTTAATCTTTCTCTCTGTCTCTATGCATCCGCCAGAGGGTGCGCCTTATTTGTAAAAATCACCTTTGCGAGTAAAGCACGTTTCCCCTCGAGCTAATCCTGACAGCAACGTTCGGTTTGGTAATCGATTGTTGTTTTCCCTCCTTCTCATTACGAAAGTAGAGGAAAGAATGCCAGATCATACTGTCATCGTCTAAAATGATAGTGTCAGAATTGTCGGAGGAGGAACTATTAAAGGCCAGCCTAGGATCATGCCACATTTGGTGAAGAACTAGATCCACTGAGAAGTCCTGAAAAGTGAATAATGTATAAACAAATTAATTTCGATTCGGGGAAATTGTCACTGTTTGAAAGTTAACATTACGTACGTGATTCTTAATTTCTTTGATTTTTTATTTTAGAATTATATAATGTAAAAACCTTGTGTAATAGTATAAATATTGGCAAATTTAAATATTCATTTAAAGGGCCATCCCATGGGAATTTCCCCCAAATTAATTTCAAGAGATTCTCTCCACGCCTTCGAAAATCCAGTAATATGCGTGTCTTGAAAATCTTCTAATATTTTCCAATTCAGACTCTAGAGACAATAAAAGTTTAGATAAAAGTTTATTTGACACATTGTACCTTGTGTCATTATCTTCTCAGCCTCTTTGGCTAGCCATTGTCAGCTTGCAACGTCTGTATTATACGTGGCACACTGCCGCGATACAAATCACCCTGCCATTTTCTCGTGTGAAGACAAGGCAATGCGCGTGACGGCAGATGTCGTATTATGACTGGCCGGTAATTTAAACTAAAGTGTTAAATTAAAAATTAAATAAAAAATCGAATCCAAGTGAAAAGGTCGGGTCAGGCAATAATTCGTGAGTAGGAGAAAATTTTTCCCCAGGAAAATTCATTTTCGCGGGAAAATCTCATGGAGAGTCCCTTTAAGTGAGGGGAATTTACCCACCATATTTGCATCATTGACGTCACTGATCGTGTTGATATAAAGTGCGATGGATATGTTCACAGGTTTATCTGTTAGATTGGAAAATTTAAAATTTTTATTGTGAAATATCAACATCAATTAACTTTGACGCAAATAGAAGCAACTAAAGCAACATATATATATATGTACATATTTAAGAAAGGTATGGTAAATGTCAATATTTAAATTATTTCGTACAATACTTTTATAATTTGTTTAAAGTTAAGATGAATCTCCAGAGCATTTAAAATTTATAAAAATATATCTAATGATTGAAAGTGGAAAATGAATATACAATTTTGACAAGGATACCTGAATGTACATTTGGTCGAATTTTTTTGTTGTACGATTTTTTATCAAGTTCTTCCAGAAAACGCTCAGCAGCAGAGCTGGAAATGTTTTTAAACAGGCATCAGATCACTATATAATATTTTACATAACAATTTATTGATTAATATTCATTCATCACATTTTTATAGTAACCTCGAAAATTATAGTTACAATGGGCTGCCAGTGACTTATTAAAGTAAAGTATAGGACTTTTAATACACCTCTTCCACTACACTTCACGCCTTTTGATGAAGAGGTAAAGTCAAAGTGTAATACCTTCCATGTAGTCCTCAGAGAAATCAAACATATCGTAAGAGAAATAGAGAGGAGACTTACTCGTGAACAATTTCGTTGTCTTGGCAAAAGCTCTCTTGCTGCAGAGCAAAAAACACCAAGGACAGTAAGCTCGTTGCATACATGATTACTCCAGTCTTAACTGAATTGGCCTGAAATGTAACCAGGTTATAAAGTGACACACAGGCACTGCCTGGTGTGGCATAAAAAGGTACACTGAACAAGCACACACACATTCACACACACACACACACACACACACACACACACACACAAACTAAAAATACAACAACAAAAATATGCCTTTTATAAAACACAGTTGGGAAGCATGTATGCTCCTGTCCACCAATTGTAGCGGTTTCAACTATAACATGTCAGACGACAAGCACCACTTGAGCGATAATTCAATGCTATATTACAAATACAAGGTGGTATGTATTCATAATTACACTGCGCAGATAGACTTTATGGACCAAGAGCAGCTGTTTTCAATTTTCAAAACAGAAAGAAAAAAGTTTTTAAAATAAACTTAAATTAATTTTTTTTTTTGGGGGGGGGGCTTGCATGTTTCAGGTGGGGAGTCCACTTGAATAAACGCCTTTAAACTTAACAACTCTGCCGTCATAAGTTTATCAATAAAATCACCAGTTTAAGGCGACAATGGTTTAGGGCAACTAGTACTGCAAGTACGTTTTTTCGGGGTAATAAAAACAATTTGACGATGAACGTGTCCCTTCCTCTCCCTCTTAATTAATCTTAGATTGTTTTTATCGGGAGACTGCTAGATCTCATAGTGGAGCAAAATGAGTCGTATAGCGTATTGATTGAAAGGCAATGGTTCTAATAGAGTGATTGAGAATTATATCGGTAGGAACGTGTCTTGCTGTAGGCCTACCATGCCTATAATCGAGGACAGCATGAAAAATAATGTGAAAGAAAATGAGTATAGAACGCATTACCGCTGTGAAATTTTTAAAGCAATAAGCCCCCACAGTATAAGGCTATTGCCGACTGGATTCTGAAATTGTATAAACAATTCGAGTCTTCTAGAATTTTTCACCATTGGGAGATTAATATTTTTGCTTGTAACACCTTACATAATGCATTGGCTGGTGGTCTGCGCTAACCAAAATTCCTTTGTTTAAATATAAACTGGCTGTATGAAAAGAAACGTTATTGTGCTCTTGCGACCCCCTCCGACCCCCAGCGCCCCCACCCCACCCCTCGCCCCGTTTCACATCTTCTTAGTAACAAATGGCCTTTTTAATTTTGATGTCTTCCTAATTGAAAGCAAAACGTATGAAGTTGTTTTGGTTATCGGTTTTAAAATATTTCCCAAAGTTACCGTAAGTAGTCCCTACAACGTATCAAAACTAAAAAAAAATGTATCACGAAATATAAGTGTCTCTGGACACCTGTTAAGGTTGTGACACAGCCAGTGTGACAGGAATGGTCTTCGGGCAGGAACCGCAGTCTGTTCCCCATTACTTTGCACAGGTGACATTCGTCCCATATGCTAATCCGTACACTCCGACGAAGCTTAACCTGTACTTACATGCATCATATCATCGTACTTCATTCCTAAGACTACCATTCCTGTTACACCAGGTGAAGAATTAGATAATGACAATAAATGCTTACTTTTACTTGCAGCAGTCAGCATCTAGTTGCTTCAGATACCCTACCTCTTTTGCAGAAATCAAATATGGGTCGCAGTGAGTTATTTCCAGCTAAACTGTATGGCCTGTTATTTACTTTTCTCCAAACAGAATGTGCTATTACCTCGAGGAAATAAAGCCTATTTCAATCTTGAACCAATCGTCCAAACATACAGCGTCTTTGGAGAACTTGAATGTGAGGTATTGAATAATCGATGTAATACGAAGAAATTAATTCACGCGGCGTAAAGAAAAACATATACCTGTATGTACTGTTTCCCCAACTGATAAACAGTGATAAAAGAAACTGACCAGCTGCAATATTTATTTACTTTGCAACATGTTAACCCTTATCCTGGAATATATCATAATGTCACCTTATTCGAGTTTCATCATTCATTCAATCCATATTAAGTCCATTAGAAAAGCTAAGACTTTGTGGCTTCTTTCCCTTAAGGCTATACACAGCAAATCCCGCGTCTTGGCACCGCCTCTCTTCATTATAATATACTGCATACAAGTTAATTCTTTCTAAGTATAGAGAAACATACAATTGACAAATCCAACCAGAGAATCGACTCCCTCAATAATAATAAATATCTTTTTTCATTTAAGCTTTTACAGTTACTTCTTTGGGATACTTCATAATATCTGCCGGTTTCGCCATATTGGACTGTTTGGGGCTGATGACTTAAATTGTAGAATATGTTTTAATAAATTAAGACAACTTTAGAAAATAATTTGCTTGACACTTTTATCAAAGACGAAATGCTGACACATTTATCAGATTGGACGCATAGAATGACACACTTATAAAGAAACATTGCAGAGCTGGACAATGTGCTATCCGCAGAGCGCGGGACGTACAAGACGGGGTGCAGCAGCATGGTTTTCATTCTATGGATTGGCCTAAACATTCTCCAGGTGTCAGTGTGATAGAATATGCTTGAGAAACGATTGATAAAACAGTAACAACCTCTATTGCAAAACCTTAGCTCCAATAGACGAAGAGAACGGGCTCCAAACGCAAGGATTACAAAATCTTGAGACAGGTTTAAGGAAGCGATGTGAATCTCTGGTCACAAGTCAGAAAGGGTGCAACCGTTATTGATCTCCTCAGTATTGTTTTACTATTTATTGCATGAATACACTTTAAATTGGGATCATTCAGAGATGTATAAACTTTATTTTTTATAATAAGCTGTTTTAAATAGGATTTGGTTTTTGCTGTATGAGCATACTTTTTAGCCACTTTTTGCTCAAATTGTTAAGTCATCCTCATCATTAAAATCTTTGTGTAATGCATTCCCTTATAGAAATGTCCAATTTTAGTAAATATATGTGAAATGTCAGGTACTGTATATGCGCCCTTTTCAAATGTTCTAATCCTGTATATATGGATGTATGACACCTTTCTGTCACGAGACAATGGCAGTTAGAGAATTTATTGATAATCAGATAGATAAGCAGTATTTTGAATTTCATTTCAACTATAAATCATAAGATACTTACATTTTCGTTTGCACCGCCAAGAGACAGAGAGGGCGCCACCATATAAATGTGCTCCGAGCGTAATCTTGAAGATACGCTTTAGCGTCAAGGCAGTTAATACATGCATCTATTAAGCATAGTAATCTATGTCATATTATACTAACAAAAACTAAACTTACTTTCTATAAGTACAAAAAAAAACAAGTATAATATGATATCACAAAGAAATAGATAAGTAATTTGTATTCGACCTTTTATCACTTATATAAGGCGAAAGCACATTATTTACAAAGCATAAAAACTTGAACACACATTTGAGAGATAAACCCTCGAATATATATATATATATATATATATATATATATATATATATATATATATATATTGTGTATCTATAATGTGCTAGTCTAAATCACCTCGTTAACAAATGACCACACTGTCCCTGAGTATGGACTGAGTTTACACTGCATATATAGACCTAGAAGGCCTAATATCCAACATGACAATAATGTTTGTATTTTACTTCACGCTGCACCTTAAAACTTTCTCGTTCCGACAGTTTTTTCTTAATGTTCTAAACGTGTGTCCATTATTTCGCTTAAAATTTAGTCGAATACATTCTAATTCACAGAATGTTTTATTAAATATTTCTACAGTTACTTTGTTAGAGATCACAGCACGATAATCACCATCACCTAAAAATGTATAAACACGAAGAGACCCGCACTATATCACTGCTGGAGAGGCAGGGCTGAACGTTCTTTAAAGATTTTCATCGTGTTCGTGCTGAGGATGTATCTTGAAGACCATGTAAATACCCCAGTATAATAAGTTGAAGAACAGAAAGAGGAAAGGAAAGAAAATCTTAGAAACTTTATCCACGCGGTGTGCCGTCAGCTGCCTCTTTACCACACACCACAGTGTTTGTTTCCGTTTGTCCAGAGATTTGTTGTTCAGTGCGCTTTCTTCTTCTTTGGTTAGTAGACAAAACGTTTCTTCGTGCTAAATGGAAGGAAATGACATGGATAACATTCAAAATCGTTAGTATTTAAATAAAGTAACAAAAACTCTTAAACTGAAAACTCGTTTTCTTTTACATTTATGTTTATAAATGTTTTGAGATATATTTTTCAAATGGACTAATGGCGTTCTTATTTGGATTTTTATTTATGTTACAAAATCTAAAGACATTTTTCGAAAGTCTACATGCAAAAGGCTGCAAATTAAAAAATATGAAACACACGATTTAATGGGTTACACGTGTACCTTAGTCTGATTTTCTTTTTTACGGTCCTTAGCTTTCAAGATCTCCTTCTGTAAAAACACGCTGACGAGGGCATATTCCAACATAGATCCCATTGAAAAACAAAGGCAGGCACAAAGCCACGTGTCCATAGCCTTCACGTACGAGACCCTGGGCAAGCGAGACTGCAGAGACACTATCTGGGTGACGATCGTCAAAACTGTGATGACGCAGATGGCTACCCGGGCAGGGGCGGAGTTTGGGTCGATCCAAAAGCTGAGGAAGGACAACATGACGACAACCATGCTTGGGGCGTAAATGTTGAGAAGAAAAAAACGTATGTCGCGCTGAATCTCCACTGTGGCATACAAGCAGGCGTAAGTACCTTAAGAAACAAAAAGTAAAAAGGAAAGTAAAAACCCTCTGTATAGTATTAATTTTACTTATTTACAAACTTGAGAAGATTGAAAGTGATGGTGCCTATGTTCATTCTTGCAATGTCACCAGGCCCTGCACTCTACAATATGGTTTTTAACCAAAGATAAAAGAAAAATAAATAAAATATTTGAGGATAAATAAATACACAGATAAAGACGAAATGGGCATCTTATTAAAGACTACTCATTCGACCAAAGAACAATAAGAAACATTATCTGGAGAGGGAGAGAGCACGTACCTATTGGGTAAACTGCTTTGCATTCTTTTGCATTGACCCCAGTTAGTTCAAACTCCGGTAGGTATGTATCTTGAGTACTGACATGTACCGGATTTTTTGCCCAGGTGAATATCACGTCATCAACTGGGTAGGCGACTTGAAGAAAAACATACATGTATTGAACTTTTTATAAAATATTCTGCTGGTTAACCACAATTACCATCTATCTATAAGAATATCAATTACCATCTATCTATAAGAATATCCACGTACAGCAGTTCTCTCCGTTTTTGAAAGCACTGCAAATTTTGAAGCAATGTGTTTATAATTAAAAAGTTGATAATAGAAGGAAATATCGAATAAGTAATACGTTCGAGTGGTTTCTATTAATGTTTGGGTCTGGGGTCGTGCTAGTCGTTAAATACCATGACAATAACGTCCCATATCACAATATATCTGTTGTTAGATAAATTATAAAAACTGATCACTTTTAGCTTTAGCTTTATGTATCACTGTATTGCAGATGTTGTGGAAACACAAGATTAAATGATGACCAAAGAAGATAAAATCGAAATGATTTCAAGAAAATTGGTAAAAGAAAGATTGCTGTACAATAGAAACCACCTTACAGAAAAGCTCCAGAACACAGTATTAACTGAAAGTGTTTCTACAATAGAAACGAACAAAACGTTAACATTACATCTGTATAGATCAAACTCCAATCTGTCACACACATGATGCGTGAATTATAATCGTTAAATGTTATCTGGTGGCACCGGATGTTTTCCACTTAAGGGTACTTACAATTTTCCATTTGGATTTTACATGTTTGGTTGTCCATGGGAAACACAGAGAAATCATAGTGACATGCCAACACCAGAGCAAGCCTGCAAGGAAGCACGCATCATCAGTATTGACAAAATACGACAATGTTTTTGTTATCTCATTGTTAGATAATGTTCTTAAGAACTGGTGAAATAATATTTGCAAATTAATGTATATGTTAAGACGCTAACGCGTTCCATTGATTTAAATATCGAAGAACCAAGTCAACCTATTGGTATAAAGATGCTTGGCTTCATAATAACTGGGATTTTCTCACAATACCTTCAACTATTTAATCTCTCTCTCTTTCTCTCTCTCATGCATCCACCACAGGGTGCGCCTAATGTGTGCGTGCGTAAAAATCACCTTTGTGAGTAAAGCACGTTTCCCTCCGAACTAATCCTGACAGCAACGTTGGGTCTGGTAATCGTATGTTGTTTTCCCTCCTTCTCATTACGAAAGTAGAGGAAGGAATGCCATATTGTACTGTCATCTTCAAGAATGATAGTGTCAAAATTGTCGGAGGAGGAGCTATTAAAGGCTAGCCTAGGATCATGCCACATTTGGTGAAGAACTAGATCCACCGAAAAGTCCTGTAGAGTGAGATAAGTGTATAAAAAAATCTAGAAAATTACTTAGAGCGAGGACCTCCGCCGAGGTAGCTCAATTTTCGATAGCAATTTATTAATTGATTTATAGTTCACCACCGAAATCTTAACCATTCTAACTTCATTTCTGACTTATCATGAATATTTTATCAAGATTCGTCCATAACTAAAATCAACAGAGGTAAAAATATTTCTTTGACGGATGTACTGATTCTTATTTTGGGGAAATAATTATTAGTTACATTGTTAAAAAATACACCCTTATCTTAATTTCTCTAATGTTCTGATGAAAATTCATCTGTGTAGTCGTAGGATATGATTCAAGTATTAAACTTTTCAATTTCTATTCTTTCAATTTCGCTGAAGAAGATCACGGTTGTGATCGAAAGCTCTGTCAGGTATAGCTTTATTTTTGTGTAGAAATTGAAAAGTTTAATACTTGAATCTTCTCTAACGTTATGTATTTTCTTTGGTGTTATATTTGTACGCTAGCTAGAAATATAGAAGGTAAAAACTGCCTTGCAATAAAAACATTTGGGGAAAATGTCTTACTTATCAGTTCAAGTTAAGGGAATTTACCTACCATATTTGCATCATTGACGTCACTGATCGTGTTGATATAAAGTGCAATAGATATGTTCACGGGATCATCTATTAGAGGCGAAAAACTAAGAGTGAACTTATTCATGAAAATTAATTCATTGTAAATTGCTTGATATCAATTATTTCATCTCGACATTGTTACAATTTGCGTAGGATTCAGAAGCTTCAACGGCACATTTAAAATTAATAAAATACATTTAATGATCAAAAGCAGAAAGTCAATTTACAATTTTAACACAGATACCTGAATGTACATTAGGTCGAATTCTTTTGTTGTACGACTTTTTGGCGAGATCTTCCAGAAAACGCTCAGCAGCAGAGCTAGAAATGCAATGAGATAGACATCAAATCAATATTCAAGGCTGTACATAATGATTTCCTGATTAAAACTCATTCATCTTATTTCTACGAGTAAACTTAAAAATTAATGTCATTTCTTTTCGAATACATGGGTTATAAGTTTTTTATAAGATGAAGACCATACATTGAACTACCTTTCTTGAATGCTGCAAATAAACCGAAAAGGATTCATAGAATTATAAGATACAAAGAGAGGGGACGGGGACTTACTCGTGAACAATTTCGACATCTTGACAAAAGCTCTCTTGCTGCAGAATGAAAAATGTCAGGAACAGTAGGCTCGTTGCATGCATGATTAACTCAGTCTTAATTGAATTGGCCTGAAAGGTAATCGAGTTATGAAATAATTCCGACTGATATAAATAAGTGTAACAATAAGACGAAAAAGGAGTACACAGCAAAAAGAAAAACCTGAAACAAGGTGTATTCTAAAAAATAGAGTCCTGATAACTGTATGGTCCAGTGCATGTGTACCAATTACAGCGGCTTCGACTATAACAGTCCAGTTGGCTACAAACGAGCAGCATTCGGGCAATATCATAAATGCACCAGAGGTGAACTGTATTCATAGCTATGCCGCTAAGTTAGTGGTAGTCAACAAAGGACATCTGTTTTGTTATTATGTCTAAGCCAAACGGAGGCGTAACTGTTTAATTTAAAAACAGGACAGGACGAATGTTCTTAGACTGGCCTTCGAAGTTCACAATCACACTGTCAAAGATTTACTGGTAAGATCAACAGTTTTAAGGTGACAATGTTTCCGAATAACATACAAGTGGGTTATTCGGGGTAATAGAAACACTGTGACAATGTGCAGTAGAACGTGCTTGACGCTAAGTTATGCCTTAGTATCCACGTACCCAGATTAAGAATCTTCACGTTCAGCTCTTAATTGATTTGAGATTGTTTTATCGGGAGCCTGTTAGATCTCATAGTTAAGCATAACGAGTCGTAAAAGCGTGATTAATGAAAAGCACTTCTTCTATTAGACCGATTAGCTAAATCATTAAGAACGTGATCACTTTCTTACTGCAGCATATTTATTAACAAGGACAGCATGAAAAGTAATCTGAAAGAAAATGAGTATATGAGTATATTTTACCGCTGAGAGCATTTTATATCACAAATACTTAAGTTATGGTATCAGACGGGACAACGTTTGGTTGTCTCAATAATTTCAAGTCTTAGAAGAGAAAAAGAAAGAAATGCCAAGTCTGTAAGGTATATGACCATACACGCCACGCACTTGGGGTGAATAGTTTACAAAGTTGCCCACGTTCTGCAACAGCATTTGCTTTTTTACCAGTGGAAAAATATTGTCTTCAAAGATCATTAAAATGTAAACTGGCTGTATGAAAAGAAATAATGTTATTGTGTCACTGAAACCCCACCCCTCCATATCCCAGCGTTACCCCAGCTCTTGACCCGTTTTACATCAACTTAATAACAAATAATCTTGTAAATTTTGATGTTTTCCCAATTGACAGGAAAAACTGCACATTTACCTCTTGTTATAGGTTAATGTTTAATGTTTATCCCAAAGCCACGTAACAAAACTTAATGTAACAGGCCGGGTACCTGTTAAGAAAGTTTGATGTAGCCGGCGGAGCTCTCACTTGATTAATCACTTGAAGATAACCTCACCCATCAAAAAATTAAATAATTACAAAAATTACTTCAACTTACTCAACCTGCAGCAGCGAGCATGAAGAGCCTTCAGGCACCCTACTTCTTTTGCAGAAATCAAATGAGGTCCGGAGTAGGTTATTTCCAGCTTCTCTGTATAGCTCGTTGTTTACCTTACTCTAAACAGGACGTGCTATTACCTCGAGGGATCAAAACCTATTTCAACCTTGAGCCAATCATCCGTACAGAGAACTACTTGGGCCGGCTTGAATGGGAGGCATTGAATAATCGCAGAAATACAAATAAATTAATTCACGCGGATAAGAACCCCAAGTAAAAGATAAGCATCTACTTCGTACCCCGGCTGGTAAACAGTTTTGTTAATAAACTGACCGCTGCAATACCAGGTTTTGCAAACTTCGCGACACCTCAGCTCTTCAGAGAATGACAAATACACATTTAAATGATTTAATCGATCTTGCAAGTCGCTAGTGTAACGCCTAGTAAGAGGGAATGATGCTTAGTATACTTTTGATTTAAATACTACAGTAACCTAAGTGTCCTAATTTTCTTTTTGATTTCTTTTCTCCTAATATTCTCTGTCATTTACTTCTCACACACGCGCCACCCTGAGCTTCAGAGCTAACTTGACACTAACCTTTTCACTGTAGCCTATCTCCATCGTGTCAAGTTACTTGACACGATGGAGAATAGGCTACAGTGAAAAGGTTAGTGTCAAGTTAGCTCTGAAGCTCAGGGTGACACGCGCCCACATCCAGACAAAAAAAGAGACCTGAAATATATTACCATAGTTAACCATTATTTCTAGTCAGCATCCCATTTCAAGAAACACAGCAACTACCCTTGCCTTTTGATTGTAATGTCATTTGTCGACGCACTTACAACATAATGATTTTAGTATATCAAATATACCTGACAAACTGGAAACTGTCAAATCATGCACGTCATGGTCATTCTATTTGATACCAATGTCGAGATTGTCGAACTTAAGTAACTAGCCTAGGGGATTATCAAAGAATTGATGATTATATTAATCGTTATTTTCTATGCGTCCAGTCCTCAAATTCCATAATGTTAATAGCCTACAGACGAAATATAATCAATCCGAGACAAACAAATATGTAGAGAACTGAAATATTTATAGCCTTTGGCATTTAACACTCCCATCTTTAGAGAATATATCTTATTTGGGTGACGCCTAACAGGATTGGTAAGGGTTTATTCAAGTTAACTCACTCAGTAGGTCCAAATTTGTATTATTATTACCATGGCCTCTTTCCAGTGAACTAAAATTCCTCTGTTCTGCCAGGAAAGACAAATATGGAACGTGGTCTATGGGTATTACAATGTGAAATCGAATTAGTAAAACTCCAAATCTTTCATAACATAAAATTGAAGATTGGAGCTCTACAAAACTGAAAATAGTGTGTATGTCCTTTGAACAATATTTTACCGAGAAGATACCCGAAAAGCAATATTATCTGCATGGATTTCATTCCATTTTCCTGGTTTGTGCTGTGACAGTTGGTACGGGCTGCCATGCCTCTAAGTCGCTTGGCCCGATTGCATACAATTACTAAAAAATAAAATGATAGAAAATTTTATGATAAGATATAACAAAATAAAAGATATTCAAAACGAGTGAAGGTTAAAGATCTTTTTTTTTCTAGGAGGATGAGGGGAATATGTGAGTCGGAGAGCGAAAGGGGGTGCACGAGCTGTAGGCCTACTAACTGAGCTTCCCCATCCTTGCACCCGACAGCTACACCCTGTATGCAACGGCCCTCCTTTTAAAGTAGGCCTACTTTATTCTTAATATTTATTTAATAACTATTTAATTAATTGAATGACTAATTGGTTAATGTTCCTATTTATTGAAATAGGTGTTGGTTGCCTCTGCGTCTCCTAACATGTATAAATAATAAGTGACTTTTACGAGATTTTCATAGTTTTTCAATCCCGTTTTACTTGCCTGATCGCATATCCGGACAAGCTAACGAGCTCATTGAATAAAAATATAAGGTTTGAGTCAAAAATAACTGTAATTTGGTGAACGAACTTGACAGAATAATCGGCTGACAGTACTAGAAAATTGAAAATTGTTCAGGATGTAATGAAAAATGCTTAAAGGCATATCCTGCCCAGGCTATTCGCGCAAAATCGAATTATTCCTCGAGAATAAGAGCAATTTCATTTGAGGGATCTTATATTTTAAAGGAATTGGGAAATGATAATTAGATTTGCGGTGTATTTAGATATATAAAATATGTAGACTAATGACTCTGGGATATTCTGATCAGACGCTCATAGGCCCTTACCCAATAGGAAACCTAATGGCCTAATAAAATATCTAGGCCATTTTTTAATCAAAATCCACTGAAAAGCTCTGGTGCGGTAAGGTATTTAACTTGTGCTGTTTTTTAAAACCAACAAGACCCATTTTAGCCAGTCAGAGAAGCCCTTGATAATTAGATCCAAAGCAAACTTTTTGAATTTTGTTTGCGCTATGAAATCAAATAAGGGGCCTTGTCTTCAAAGCCAAGTGGTCGAGAGGGCGCCTGGGGGCGCCACTATATAAATGTGGTGCTATCTTGGCGATGTCTTGTCTTGGGGCGCCACATAAGAAATTTTAGGAAGCTGTCGTAGACCTTGTGTATTTACAAATCTATGCTGGAGAGTGTAGTTTCTAAGGGACTGATATAGATCCTTACTTTTAAATGAGATCATAGACTCGAGAGAACAAATGATATTAACATCAACTTCGAGATTATTATAACGGGTCTACCGGGTTCTCACAAACAGAGGTAAGATTCCACCAATGGTGAGTGGGGGTTCGCTCTGTTACAGAGATGAAAAGACGTTTGACGTACAGTGTAATTAATGTTATAAGCAAACAATTGAGAATTTTTGTAATACCGGTGTCTGAAGATGCATTACGCGTAATCAACCAAATGATTTAGTAAACATCAGTGCCAAGGGAAAAAAATTCGTTTAAGTATCTTCATTTGTGCTCACAGTATTGTAGTTGCACCTTGGTCGAAATATAAGTACGCAAGGCAATTTTAGGGTATAGATTATTTGTATTTCATGCTGTGTACTTACTTCTTTTTCTCAATTCTTGCAGGTGAACTTTGCACTCTTTAGCTTACAGATGTGCAGTAAACTTAATTTTTCTGTGAAAACATTTCAAGATGAAAAGATCAGCTGCACCCAGTCAACAAGGGGCTGCCAAGAAGAGGTTCAAGCCACCATTTCTGGCCACTCCAGGGACTGAAAATACCTCAAGCAACAATAATGTATATAGTTGAAGTATAAAACAGTTGGTAGCTACATGTAAAAACTTAAACACTCAGGATATCCATTTTAATCTTTTCTACAAATTTTATATATTGAAAATTCAACTGTTCACATTCACATTTCTATAGCAGTTTGTAAACATGCATCTTTGATAAATGAATTTGACAGTTTTCAGATTTACTCCTTCATAACATTTTGTGGATTTTGTTATTGATAGATCTAATTTTACTGCCTTTAACGTTACAGGATCAGAATTTCACAAAACCACAAAATCCCTCCCTCTCAGGTGTGTCATCCAAAGCAATAAACAAAGGTCATGGTGTGGGGGTCGTCACTCTTCATAATCATGCAAATATAAGGGAAGAGACATCTGACAACACAGACATGAGATGTACCCCTCTACAAAGCCGTGCTTTGAGACTTGTTCAGCTGTCAACTTGGACTGGTGCAAAACCTGGGGTAGATGAAGCCTCACATACTATAACTCCAGAATCAGGGAATGTATCAGACTTAAAACAGGATACATCCTTTCCGAGTACAGCTCAGTTATTGCCAGGTTCAATAAATGAAAAAGATGTTGAAGATCTTAGATCTTTGAAGAATTCTGTTTTTAAATCTGTGCCACGTCAAGACAGACAATATAGTTCATGTGGACCACAAGAATCTTCATCAAGTTCTCTTTCAAGACGGTCAGATTCTACATCCTCCCAATCAACTGGTAGTTCCGGTAGATTCCTCTCTCCTGCTTCAAATGTCAGGTGTAAGGATATTTGATTTGGTAGACTTGTCAAAATTTGCAGATGAATGTCTTATTGATAGCTAACTTAGTTTTCTCATTTTTTTTTTTTTTTTTTGAACTTTGCAGTAGACAATGCATTCAACTTTTCTATGTTTTTTAAATTGTCCTTTGTTTTAAAAAATTGACCTAAAGCATCTTTTAATACCCATACATCTTTGTCTTACATGTATATTTTAGCAAAGGTAGAGGGAGCTGAACCACTAAAGCAATATTTCACTGTCATGTGGGCCAAACTAACCAAGAAAAAGGTAACAAAGTGATATATGCTAAAAAAAAGAGTAACAATGCAAATATTATTTTTGGAGTTGGGCTATTTCTAAATTCATTTTCAAATTTTTTCAGGTGTGTTATAAATGCTATTTCAGTTTGTGTTTTAATACTAAATAAAAGTGTGTAATTACCTTGCTGTTTACAATTCATTATTATATATTGCAAGGTATAAATTTGTATTACTTATAACAGGCATTTATTTTCTTTTTAGCACAAGACATGGGAAGGAGATGGTAGGTATTTTACTGCACTATAACCTGTAAAGGTTAAATTAGTTTCATACACCTGACCCCTAATTGTATGTTAATCTCCATTTTAACTTGAAAGTTGCTTTTAGATATGTGAGCAAATCAAGTTACCCATTGGCTAGATAAACAAGCATCTTCAAGTTTTTATATTATTGTATTTACCTATGACCCATTCAGGGATCCTGGTAATCAGTGGGAGAAGTGCCACTTTGCAAGATATGGAAGGAAAAGAGTGAGTGAAATTTGCCTATCCCAACCTACTGAATTAAAAATCATCAACTTTATATTAAATGTAACATTAGATGTTGGTAGTTTAATATGTAATTTAAATACACAAGTTCTTTTTTAAATTTTTATTTTATTTTCTTGAATAGATTCTGGTTTGATGGAAGCTTGTTTGTGTGATACAGTTGTAACAACCTTTCTGGCTATGAATAATAGAAATGGTCATTCTCATAGTTTCTCTTCCATCAGGATCTGTTGTGCCAAGGGTTACAAAGCTGAAGAAGTGGAAAACCTACCAGAAGGAGCAACTCTTAAAGTTGGAAGCAAGGAAGTTGAGGTATGGTAGCAGATTGTTTTCCAGTGTAGGAGGTAGTTGTTGTTGCTTTTATTTTACTGCCTTTTATGCCACCAAACATTACAGTTTGTACTTTTACAAGGTTAACATTGTTAGAACATCTGCTCGCTTTGGATTGTATTATGCCTGCATTTTGTAGATCACTGGCTCTTTGACTACAGATGCTTATACCAGTGGACGTTGCTTTAACGCTGTTCAGAAGAGGGAGCTGTCTAAACAAGAGAAACCCAAACTAACAGCGCCAGGTATAGACCAGATAGTTTAATAAATTATTTAGTACTTTCTGTGCAGAAAGATGGAAATATTTGTTTTCAGATGATTTTAAGTTATGCCAATAAAAGATTTTGGATATTTGAAGAAAAATCATCACTCAATATATTCTCTTTGTAGTTGCTCCCAAACCCTTTACCTGTCCTTTACCAGGCCATGTTGAGTCAAAGGTGTGATATGACCATTTTCATTATATTTGATGCAGCCATTTTCATTAAAATTCATCTAGAAGTTATTATAATCAAGTAATTTAGAGTAACATTTCTGTATTTTAACAGTAGGCAATAAATAGCACACATATACATGAGCATACATATTGTGTGTATTAGTAGTAAAAGATAAGGTACTTGTTTTAAAACAGTTTCATGGTATGCTGGTTAAGTATGCTTACTTTGGCAAGGTTAATGATTGTTCTGATAACTGAAATGAATTATTAAATAAATAATTTAAATTGATGAACATATACAAAGTGTGTGACTCTTATATCATATGTGACTTTCCAGTCTAAGTTGTCACAGTCTCAGACAGTTGTCACACCAAGATTTGACCCCATGGCTCCAGGTGCCCTGGTCATGCTCAGACCATTGTCCACTCATCAAGTGAGGAACACTTCACTGTTGTATAGACAAAGCTATTTATAAAACATGTATAAAGATATGTAAAAACCTTATTGAGATGCTGAAAATAGCAAAAATAACAGGAATAAGATTAACACTAGAAATTAATCTGACCACATTGAAAAATGCAACATTGAATAAGTTGACCCAGTCTACAGGGAAAAGCACTGCTAATTTATAATTGTTATGCTAAAAGCAGTAACCTATAGATTTAATGGTTTGGTTTACTGTTTGAAATTTGCCATAGTCTTATCCTTGTATCCTTTCCACTATAGTGGCAGTTCAATAAAAATGGCACCCCTGTGGTAGATGTTGTTGTGGACCCCCATGTTGCCTGTCATCTGAGACCACACCAAAGAGAAGGGGTTGCCTTCCTGTACCAGTGTGTTATGGGGATGAGAGAACATGTGGGGCAAGGTGCAATACTAGCGTAAGTATGGCATATACATTTGCCTGTTGTGTTCAGGATACCTGTATAGGAGTGCAATTACATTAAACTGCACCATAGGAGCAAGCCACAAGGTTTTTGACATGGTCCCTATTAGAGTTATATCTTAAAAGAATATTTTGTTTACTTTTCATACTGTTGCCAAGGCAAGTTCAAAGGAACAACAAAAATGTATTTCTTAAAGAGAATTTATCCTATGGAAAACATTTGATACCTTGATTTTAAAGATATTAAATAGGGACATTTCTTTTTCTTTTAGAGATGAGATGGGACTTGGAAAGACACTGCAATGCATAGCTTTGATATGGTAAATGAGGTCACATTTATTTATTTATTTATTTATTTATTTATTTATTTATTTATTTATTTATTTATTTATTGGTTAGATTTTGTTCTTTTGAGTGTTATCAGTACAATAATAACAAAAAATGGAGTATGGTATAAAATTATCCACAATTTAAATGTGAAATCACAAAACCAATTACCATGGACTCCCACCACAACACTAATCACCACAGAGGACCAGTTCACAGCAAGTATTTTTCTGTTCCAGGACCCTGTTAAAGCAGGGACCATATGGTGGGAAGGCTGTTGTAAAGAGGGTGCTCGTCGTGACACCAGGCAGTCTGGTGAAGGTGAGGAACAAAAATTTTGTGATATAATCAGCCACAATGTACTAGTATATCAGTGATATGTCTTTAAGTATTTTAATCTAGTCTTGGTGGGGTTTATATAATATATATGTGTTCATTCATCATGGCTGCTTTGTAAATGAGAAGATGATAAGTACAGCAAACAAACGGAATGGAAAAGAATTGAGCTGTTTACATAGATTTATCTTACTGTGTTGATTATTACTTCATCTTTGCAGAACTGGTGCCATGAGTTCCATAAATGGCTTGGTAAAGAGAGACTAGCAGTGTTTGCTGTAACCAAGGAGAAGAAAGTTAAGGTGTGTCACTAACAAAAATTAGTTAATATTTATAACATAATAAGTCAGTTTTCACTCAAGTTGATCCCTGTTTTTTTCCTTTATAGTCAACTGCAGTATGTACTTAAGAAATCCAGTTGATTATGTCTTATCTTTCTACTTTTAATTTCATGATTTTAGGACTTCCTCACTTCTTTCCACCCTGTCTTAGTGGTGTCCTATGAGATGTTGGTCAGGCACATAGAACACATCAGACAGGTCAAATTTGATCTTATTGTCTGTGATGAAGGACACAGGCTGAAGAATTCCTCCATCAAGACTACTTCAGTAAGACCATCACATTAAGGGACCTTCTAGGATAGTTATAAATTCTTCTTTTGCCTCTTGTTTACTTTTTTCTTTGACTGTAATTAAAATGTAGATTCTCAAAAATGTAGACTTCTCAAGTCATTTCATAATAGGTATTATGTATATTAAGATAAATGTAGAACACAAGTTTTGTTCTGTTGAGACATTTTATTACCACATTTCAGCTCATGTCCAGTCTGTCTGTCCAGAGGAGAGTGGTGCTCACAGGTACTCCCATACAGAATGACCTGCAGGAGTTCTTCTCCTTGGTGGACTTCTGCAACCCTGGAATTCTAGGTAAAAAGTTATTGAAACACTTTTGAGTGATTATTACATTCATCTTAAATCAGAGGTCTGTACAGCGAAGTAAATAAGTACATGAGAATCTCAGTGTTTTACATGATCATTTTACTTCAACTTATTTAATAATGTATACATTCAGCCAACCAATGCCATGATTTTCATCAGAAGTGATTCTGTTATTCTGATATATTTATATGTAATATAAATAATTCTTGAATCAAACTATTGCAGGCACCAGTTCAGCCTTCCACAATATCTATGAGGTTCCAATCCTGGCATCTCGTCAGCCAGGTGCTTTGCCAGAGGAGTTGGAGCTGGGCCGAACACGCTCAGATGAATTATCTCAGCTCACCAAACAGTTTATCCTCAGGAGGACTCAAGAGGTCAATGATCAATATCTACCACCCAAAGGTACTATAAACTTTGTGGTGTGTCTTAAGATTTGAGGGGGCAGTTTATATTTGGATGTGGACTGTTTGGAAGATGAGTAAGGTAGTGAAATCATGGAAAATTGCATCAATTTAGTATTTAGGTAAGTTTAGTAGAAAAGTAATTTCTTTGCATTGTGGTCCTTTCCTTAGTGTTAATGTATTTTTGCACTGCTTGAAATTTTTGTAATGTAGTCTACCAATTTCATCTGTCTTTTTTACAGTTGAATATGTTGTATTTTGCCGTCCTAGTGAAGTACAGTTGCAATTATATAGACAGATCCTTAAATCTCAAGCTGTGCGCAGATGCCTTCAGGATGTAAGCAATACAGCCTCTCATCTTGTGGGCATAGGGGCATTGAAGAAGCTATGTAACCATCCATGTTTGATATATGAGGCAGCAAGAGAGACAGAAGAGAGCAGTGAACGTATGGACATGTCTGTAAGTTAGGGTATCGTTTACAAAAATCTTGATGTTGAAAATTCATTTTTTTGTTTACATTCACATTTTACTCCCTTTATTGGCAGATCAGTAGAGAAAAGAATTCACTATTTTATATAAGGTGGAAATTTTTTATTGTAAAGATTAAAGCAAAAAAATGCTATAATAGATTTGTTGTACAGACTGGAAAAAAAATTTTTGTATTTTTTGATACATTGTAGTCCTCACCATTTATTGGGCTACTGCAGCATTTCCCAGACAGTTACAGCGTGCAAGAACCAAGCTCTGATGAAGTTGGCAAACTTACTGTGCTGCTCACACTACTGTCTTCAATTGTACAGTCTCAGGAAAAAGTTGTTGTCGTCTCTAATTACACAAAGGTATTGTTTATGACACATATTCCGTCCTTTTTTTTTACCACATATTTTATTATTTGAAATTTCTACACAAGGACAATGAACTTATAAAAGTAGACAGTATGTATACACAACACATAACACACTACTTGAATAGAAGAGGGCAACTAGTGAGTAGGATCTGTTTGACACCCTCTGCTTCACATGGAGCAAGCGAAAAAGAGAGACAATTACAAGTAATACATAAGACGATAAATCCAGATATTTTTCTTACTTGAAAAATGTTTTAAGGAAAGAGAAATGACCAAAAATATCTTTTCAGACATTAGATATCCTTGAAACTATCGTGAAAGGTCACGGTTACAAATTCCTTCGTTTGGATGGACAGACACCCACAGACAAAAGACAGGAGATTGTCAATTTGTTCAATTCTAAATACTCCCAACATAGTAAGTAAATTAGTACATTAGATAAGTTTTGTATTGTTTAACTTGATAGATTCATTATTTATAATTAGTAGCCAACAGAACATCCACTGTCTTTTTTGTTTTGTCAGTGGCTGTAATACCAACTGAAAATAAGATATTGGCTCATTCGATAATAACTTTCTTAATCATTTTCTTATCCTTTGTACATATGGTCATAAGTCATAGTTTTTCAGACAATCACTTGATTATAATAACATTTTTTTTATTTCTTTCCAGCTGTCTTTCTGTTGAGTTCTAAGGCTGGTGGGATAGGATTGAACCTTATTGGTGCCTCTAGGATTGTGTTGTATGACATAGACTGGAACCCTGCCACAGACCTACAGGTACAATCCTGCCTACCTGGGCTTTGTCTTAGTGCTGGGTTTTTTTACATGTTAGATATATTACATCTAAAATTTGAATTTTACACTAATGATTTTATGTATTGTGTATAATTTTTTGTGAAGGAAAATTTGTGCACTCATACATTACATGTGTGTTTGACATTTTTCCTATTTTTGCCCAATACAAAATTAACCTGTAAAAAATAATTTTTTATATATTTTTCATTGAATGTACCATTTTGTTTTTTAGGCTATGGCAAGAGTGTGGAGAGATGGACAGAAAAGAACAGTGCATATATACAGACTAATCACTACTGTAAGTCATATTTAGTCTACTTTATTTTTTGGGGTGGAAAATTTTAATTAAAAAGCTGAGGATCAAATGATGGGTATGCACTGTTACATATTAGGCAGAAAACAACAGTATTGAATTTGGCATACAGTATGTACATCCTTTTCTATTGCATCTTCAGGGAACAATCGAAGAAAAAATCTACCAGCGACAAATTATCAAACAAGGTTTGAGTGGGGCAGTGGTGGACAGTAAGATAGATGGCAGTATAGGTTTCTCCCAAGATGAGCTGAGAGATATATTCACTTTGCATGAGGATAGTGCCTGTGTGACACATGACATGCTGCAGTGTGAGTGTTCTGGAAGGAAGGTGGTATCCCTTGTTGAACCAAGTAGTAGTTGTAGTAGCAGCAACAGGCAGTGTCAGCTCGGGATTAATAAGGCTAGTGTCAAGGTGAGTAACTGTTTTTCGAAAACCGACTGTTGATGTTTACAGAATTGATGACCTTGGTATTTTGTCATTTGTTAAGATATTCAAACAATATTTTATATGGTAGGGGTATAAATTCAAGTAGAGGAGCATGGACACATGTAATAAAATTCTAGTAATTTGTGTAATACACTTGTCATCATTATTTCCTCTCTTGCAGAAGCACTTTGGAATGGAAAACCTGCTTGATTGGGAACACAAAATAGTACCAGAAAAGGTAATAAATGCATGTTTAACACAGCCTTTGTAGTTTTTTACTCTTTTTATGTACAGACACAGATGTGTCTGTACATATAGCCATCACCTGCGTCTGTCGTCGCCGTCGTCGCCGTCATGCACTTTGACCACCAATAACACGATAAGTGAAAAACCGTTTTACCTTTTGGCTTGAAACTTATGGAACTAACGAATATTCATAATACGCAAATCAAGTTCGAAAATCAGCATGATTGCACCATTTTCATGGAAGTTATGCTGTTTTTTCACTTTTTTCATCATTTTTATAACACCGATAACACGTTTAGTGAAAAATGGTTTTTCCTTACAGAACTAATGAAAATTCATAATACGCAGGTCAAATTCGAAAATCAGCATGATCGGGCCATTCTTTTTGGAAGTTATGCTATTTTTTCATTTTTTTTAGCATATATGCAACACTGATAACATGATAAGTGAAAAACCGTTTTACCTTTTGGCTTGAAACTTACAGAACTGATGAACTTTCATAATACACAGGTCAAGTTTGAAAATCGGCATGATCGGGCCATTTTTATGGAAGTTATGCTATTTTTTCATTTTTTTAGCATATATGCAACACTGATAACATGATAAGTGAAAAACCGTTTTACCTTTTGGCTTGAAACTTACAGAACTGATGAATATTCATAATACACAGGTCAAGTTTGAAAATCAGCGTGATTGGACCAATTTTGTGGAAGTTATGCTGTTTTTTCACTTTTTTCAGCATGTATGCAATACCGATAACGCATTTTAAGGAAAATCAATCGGCCAATTGTCTTGAAATTTACAGGGGTGATCAGTCTTACTGAAATACAGATGGAGTTCCAAAATAAGCTCGATTGGTTCAGTTTTGGTGAAGTTATGCCTTTTTTGTATATAAGTGTTTTTTTCCTTTGATTTAATTCTTAGGCATGTTAACAATCTCATCTGTGAACTAATTAAATATGTAAAGGTGTTCTTTTGACATTTTCTGCATCTTATCAATATTGTTAGTTGATTATATAAAAAAGATGGTAAACCTGTTATTGTGTAATAAAGTGTCAAAAAATGGAAATAATAATAAACTCATATCTTTACAGTTTGTCAGATTCAATCATTCACCATGTTCAGAATCTCAGAATTGAGCAAACTGGACATTTAAAATTGTTCTATTGATATTATTCCTATGTCAACAATTTTCTTAGTTGTTCATTTAAAAATGACAGTAAATTGATTATTTTGTTACATGAAAAAAGGTTAAAAATGGAAAGAAAATCAATTCAATACAGTTATCTCTTGTATACATTTTTGCATTTTGAAAGTGTGACTCTGAACTTCCATGGCCTTGGAGACCTTTCCATGTCACATTTTCTGTATATCCATGATACTTTTATTTTATTTTTAAAAATTGATGGTCATTATGTTATGTTGCATAAAAGTTGAAGAAAACCCTATTTTGGAAATGGCTGCCGGAATGACCATTAAGGAAAAACCATGTTACTTATGATACTCAAACTTACTGAAAAGTTTCGTAAGACTGACGTGCAGTTTGTGTTGGAAAATCAGTGTGATTGTTTTCTGTTTTGGAAGCAATGCAGCTCTATAGAGTGCTATATGGGGCTACTGTTTATGGATGGTGGTAATTGTCCCTTGGGGTAGTCACAAGCTAAATTCAGAGCTATAAAATCATTTGCCTAATTAATTTCCAAGTGCCCATTTAATAAGATTACATAAAACACGTTGAGATTTCCCAGTAAAGTCCCATAGGTTAAGCTCTCTTAACTGTGTCACATAATTAGGAATCTGTGATAATTATGCAGGTAAATGTTGTTTAATATTGCAAATAAGTTAACAAAAGAAAAAAAATATTTGAATAACAGTGCCTTATTATCCTCAAACACATTGGGATTATTCATATCATGTTATTACAGCAAGATTAAAAGTTTGAATAGCAGCTTTAATGGGATATTTTTGTTGTGTTTTCTTTTTAATTTATTTTTCAAACACTGGCATTTTCAGCTCCCATCCACCTGAAGCTCTTCACATTTTCTGTATTTCCATGTAAGCAGTTGCATTGGTTTTTATGTCTTTAAACATTATGTAATATTATTTTATGCACTGTCATCATTATTCAAATATTGGGATTTTCATTATGTGAATTTGGTCCTGAAACTGTAATCTTATTGCAGGGGCGGATTGAGGCTGTCTTCTGGATTTTTCAGATTTTAAAGCTCACATTGATGGTATCTGTTTTTTCTGTTGGAAGACCATCAAAAATGTAGGATGGATCAACAAAGATAATTTGGCTTACTGTCAGAAAATATCTCTGGATCCGCTCCTGTTATTGACGATGTCACCTGTTGTGCATGATTAAAATTCAGTGTTGATTGACAGTGCTATTGTAGGCATGATTTATTATTGCATCAAAATTGACAAAATGAACCATTTTCTGCATTTTTATTTTCTGTTTTTGTCTGTACATTTGACAGCTTTGCTGCCTTGTTTCTAAATTGTTCACTGAACCAAAAATAGTTCTTACCATCAGTACCAGGGTAGTGAAATCTTGATACATGCATTGTATAGTTTAGATAAATCACAGACTGTAACAGCTAGATCTAATGGACATCTAGCCCTAGAAATTTTCAGAATTTTTGTTAAATTGCAAAACCTCAGTTGATAGTACAACAATTTACACGTCAGTCTTCTATTTCTAGGGGGATCCCTTGTGTGCAGCAAGCGATTGGATTACTATGATATTTAAAAATGAAAGAGCTTCAAGTCAACTAAATAAAGAAGTATTGTCAAAAATGCATTTAGAATGCTGAAGCTACAAAGACACTAAAATGAAGCGGTGCTAAAGAGATTAAATTTTGTGAAGAATCAAAAGCTGGACCATAGATAGTTAAAGTAGCTGATAATGGATCATCAACAGGTCTTTGCACAATTTTTTTCAAGATGACTATACTCTCTTGATAATGGACATTACATTATGTAACCATAATAAATTGTATTACAAACACTGGATTTATTGTTAGAACTTACTGTCAACCTGGTATACCTTAAAACCCAAATTGTCAGTCAGGATGTAAGATGCCTTTGTAGTGGAGGTGGATCATTGTGATAACTGTGAATACCCCTTGATCTTTTTAGTAATGTGGCTCCCAGGTTAAGATCAGTCAATGTAAGTAACAATATTTGTGCTGTGCTTTAGAACTTGTCAACAAAAAAAGGAGTCGTTTGATTGGGAAGTAAGTTTTATACATTAACTTTATGAAATATAGTGATGCTAAAATGAACAGACAAATTTATGCCATAAGTGCATGTCCATACAGTTCAGTAAGAAAGAGTTTGATGCATCAAAATGTCTGCAGTATGCCACAAAATTAAAGTATTATATGTAATATACAAAAACTCCAGTATTATAAGAATTTATATAAATAAACCTCGTCTAGTAAGGAGGCCCATGCCCTGGATGGGACTGGAGATGACGGTTGACTTGCTGAGAGCCATTCGGGACCGAGATGTGTGGATAGACATGATCGCCAACATTGAACAGCAGGGCACCGAATGATGATGATGATAACTTTATCTGCCTTGTATTTTTAATGAGGAGAACATACTCGGACGACTTCAGTTTCGAAATATCTCACATTTTAAGTCTTATTCACTGGTGATATTGCCTCGTGTAACTTTGTGATTGCTGTCTGAAGTAGCTGCTGCAACACATCATCCTCTTCACATTTAACTTCCTGAAAATTCATAAAATATACAATTAATACTAAAATGTAAATGCAATGTATATATCATTCACCATGGTGTCATCTGAACAATATTTCAAACTAAAAACTTGCAGTACCAAATATATTAAAAATATCTAGTATTATGCACATCTTGATCATTTCTATGCAGTCTTCTGGTTTGATGTATCCCATATGACCGAGAGAATCAACTCACTAAATTATCCAAGTTGACAGCTGCCACCTTTCCATCCACAGTGACGTCCATCTTATCTCCTTTCATGATCTGACTGAAGCAGTCTCTTCCAAACATTTCTTCTAGCATCTCCAGTACACACTCCTTAAAGTGGGCTTTGTCCACTTTCACAGCCGTGGGAACATCTAAAAATTCATCATAAACAAATTTGTTTAAGAGTCTGAATCATTAGTGTCACCTACAGCAACAGTGACATCAACACCTAGTGAAATTTCCATTTAGCAAATCAAGAGAAAACTTATTTCTACAGATATGTTATAATCTTTTGATGTAAAACCAAATGACTTTCAATTGTTTTTATGAAATGCTGCATTTTATAGACCAAAATGATGTTAAAGAAAGTGCAATATGTACAGTCTACTAAAATATTACACTGATCTGCATACTTTTTTGAGGCATGGGGTCCCTCTCTGCCCTCAGTATCACACTCAGAACTGAATCTGCATACATGTCATTCAATGGGCTGGCTGTCCACTGAAAATAAGGACAAATGGCATAGATTCTTGTATGTGAAATAGAATCACTTCTATAAACAGAGAACTTACATTTGTGGTTGGTGATATCAATACTACCAGGGGAAAACATTTCATCTTACAATCTACATTTCTAAGATACACTTTAGTGGCAAATTTGTCACAAATGTAATACAAGAGACATCAAAACAGTTTCACATGGAATGCATTTTAAAACAGGTATGAGGTATAAAACTATTATCAAGTCATCATAGTTACCTCTAACACCACCATTCTTTGCTCAAACACCACATTGATGACTTTGAAGACCTGCAGTGTAGGTTTGTCTATACTATGGACCTGTTCTACATCCCCAGACAACTGAGTGAGGTAATAGCGAAGAAGAGGAAGGCTGCCAGTATATGGCACGCTCATTCTCTGCGTAACCACACTCATGGCTAGCTCAGTGTAGTCTGAAGATTAAAAAAAAAAGATACATTGAGTAAAATAAAACAATATCTTTAACACTGATTTGGCCTTTTCAAACACAAACCTGAATAGGTAAGATAAACAAGGCACACTTACTATGTAAATCTGATGGTGCCATGATGTGATAGTTGAAGTTTCTCTTCACAAGAATGCCAGATATTTTCTGTCCTTGTGTAGGTTTTGATGAAGCTAAACTGCCAACAACCTTTGGGAATAAAAGTTGTGTAGTTGCAATAAATGTTACAAAGCAATTTGGCATTATTAGTCTTACTGCTGTGGTTTTATTATAAGTCCAATAATAATGCTTATTAACAGATTTCCTTAAAAAAAATTTGAAGGAAAATATATTTTCACCTCTTGAAACTTAAATAAATGGGGATGTCTAAAGACCTTACCTTTGCCATTTTCTCTCCCCTGAAGTAAAGCTCCACAGTCTGTGTGTTTCTAGGATTGTACACCTCTATGTTATACTCTGTATCATATTCATACTCTCTCATCAATGCTGCCTTTAGACGTCCCATCTCATTTGCTTCTCCATGCACTAAGACCTAGGATTAGAAAAAATACCATGTATAGGCATCCCGGTACTGGATTTGTGGATTAATCTTAAATAATAAGAATACTGATTCTGAGAAGCAAGCTTTCCCCAGCATCCTTCTATTATTTTTTGTTTGTTCTTAAGACCCTTACAAACATATCAAAAGAGCAGTTTAAAAATATTATCTGCAGGAATTTTAATAAGCATTATACTTTTTGGTACGTTCTTTCACTGTTCTCTACGCAGAGACAAGGCAAACCACTAGACAAAATATCATGTCAAAGAGGAAGAAATTGGACAAATTGAAAGAAGTTCACTCTTAAAATTGCTTTAAACAGAGCAACGAAAGATTCAGGCTTACAATATGAGGTGGCTTGAGTATCCTTATGAATTCACTGGTCTGTTTATAGTCTGTGTGGGCAGAGAAGGAAATGTAGTCCACTGAACATTTGAGAGGCAGCTTGTTGCCTGACATGGTGATTACCTCATCAGGTTCAGAGAGAATGTGCTGAAAATATGGATTAAACCAAAAAATAAGCATGTCAGAGAGAATGTGCTGAAAATATGGTTTAAACCAAAAAATGAAGCATGTTATCCTATTCTCAAATCCTAAATGGCACTGTGGTATAAAGCAAAGTATTACACACATTCAAAAATCTGTTTCAAGAAAGAAAAAAAAATCCAAAAATATCACAGTTATATTTTCTGAGCATATTTCACAAACACTGAGAAAGGTTACTTATGCACAAGTGTAAGAGCTAAGGTTTAACTTCAATAAACGAATGCTGTTCTTCTTCTCAGCAGCCATAAACACATTCCATAATAAGATAATTTAATTTGAGATGTTCATCAACTAAATTTTATTATACGAGTGTAAAATCAGCTTTACCTTAGCAAGTGTTCCTTCCACACAGTAGCCAGCAATGATGACCCCATTCCTCTTGTCAGTGCACCAGCTCTCAAAGAGCTCCCTTGACAAGCCACTCTGCATCATACCAGGGCTGGCCAGAACTATGGAGGGACCAATGTCTTCAAAGTGGTCCATACTCTGAAGTATAGAAAGAACATTGCAGAACAATATTGTACCTTTTCATGCTTTATGCCTCTGCATATGGATATTCCTAAATAGACAGCTTCAAGTTTTTAGCCATGTGGTGATGTATATAAATGTAATGCTTTTACAATTCTGGAAAAATGTAATCCCAGGCCTACATCTTACACATTATATATATATATTATATAATGAAGGAAAAAATCAAATTGCCTTCATAAAAATAATCTGATCAATCTGGTTTTCAAACAAAGCCACTCAAAAATTTTCAGTAAAACAAAATACTGTTTGGCAGTTATGGGTGAACAACAGCCGTTTAGGATGTTGACATCACACTGGCTGTAATAACCGGTCGGTGGTTATACACTTTCTTTAAGTTACTTTTTCACCAATAAGTCAGCCGAGACAGGCAGGAATAGTTTTCTGTTACATGGTTTATTCAAGCGCCTGAAGACTCAGGTCTCTTCTACCGTATCTATAACTATCTCTAACTCTCTCAGTCTGTAAGTCTTCTCTCAGTGGCTAAGTCACTGCCTTTATANACCCCAGCTGAAGTATTGACTGTGCATAGCACTACTGCCTGTTATGTTGTTAAATGACTATAAATTTAATCTTTACACTTTCCAGGGGAGCTGGTCAAGAAGTGGGGAGATCATGTCACATTCTAGAATTCAAGGGAAAGACAATTATGGTAAATAATCTCTGGAGTAAATTGATTATAAATGCTTCTTGTAGTCAAAACAACATTCAATTTGTCTTCCACCTTTGTATAGATATTTGTGATACAGTTATATAATAAGCACTGCAACTATATATATATATAGTCGCAGTTTTTACTTCCTTTTCTGAACACGTTAAAGGGATAATAACTCTTTGTTTCGGCCAAAAAATGAATTTTCCTGGAGTAAACAACAATTTTCCCATACTTACCAATGGTTAATGAATCCATTTTTACATTCAAAGTTAGTCCCTGGTTTTTTAATAAAAAGTTTGGTTTTTTGTTAAAATCTCTTAAGAGATTTTAACAGAGAATAGCCATTAATGGAGGTCACATGGTCTAAAGACTAGCTCAATTATCAGAATAATAGCTATAACTGCCATTTTTGTGGTAAAAAAGAATATATTATATTTCTATGAGTTATTCACAATGTTTTTATTGTGAAATATAGATCTCATACGAAGAGTTATTATCCCTTTAAGTGAAATTCAAAATAAATGCTGCCACCAGTTGAAAATAAAACTATGGAGTTTATTATACTTGTTTAGCTCAATAGTCACAGCCGACTTCTCATTATCTTGATTGTTTCTACTCTAAACTCTAGACTGTTACTCAAATCACTGATCTCTAATTCTCGAATCACTAATTCTACTCTGTACTGTGCTTTGTACTGTCTCCTTCTTTTGCTTCGAATTACAGCCCTTTTATAGAAAATAGTGCCCTAGCAGCACTTAGCGGAAAAGCCCTAAAAAAACTTTAGGGATCGCAGATCCCGGAAAAGACGCTCATTAATTAAAACTTACAGAGAGTGCCCCCCTTTATGGCAGTCCAGTACAAAAAGCTATATATATATATATATATATATCTTGTTTTAATTTCAGAATTGTTGTCTATTATGTAGATGTATAAGTCTTGTGTAATTTTATTTAGTCTGCACTTTGATATTGAGGCAAATGTCAAAGAGGTTTTTTCGTCTGATACATATTTTTATGTACCATATTAACAAATTCACCTTACATTTTCTATTTAAGTTGGACTGCGGAATTCATCCTGGCCTGAATGGACTAAGCTCTCTCCCTTTCACAGATCTCATAAATCCAGAGGATGTAGATTTACTACTTATTAGCCAGTAAGTATGAGTTAAAACAACTGCAATGAGAAATGCAATTTTAAGTGATTACATGATATTGACAGTACGCACTACAAGCAACCTATCAATTTCTCCTTTTGAAAATATTCTCTGTAATTTCACACCCCCCCTTTCTCTTCCTCAGTTTCCATTTGGACCATGCAGGTGCCCTTCCATGGTTTCTGGAGAAGACCACATTCAAGGGAAGATGTTTTATGACACATGCAACCAAAGCTATATACAGATGGCTACTGTCTGATTATGTCAAAGTGAGGTAAGTATAGAATTTTTTTTCCTTTGATAATTGAAAATGTACCTTTGGTGTTTCTAACATTAAATGCATATATTTTATTTATTTACATGTAGTAACCGTTTAAATGATTTCACAAAATACATTTAGTGGACTCAGGTTCCTCCATTACTATTTATATATATATTTAAAATTTTTAATGAAAACTTTTATATACATTTCAGCAATATTGCCACTGATCAGATGTTATACTCAGAAAAAGACATTGAAAACAGTATGGACAAAATAGAGACCATCAATTTTCACCAGGTAAAAAAACATCTGTTCTGTGATTAGTTAACAAAAACTAGTTATATGACCATAGGATAAAATTTTTCATTAAAATTAACAGTTATGTTATGGGACAGGTCACACAATAACTTATAAGTGCAGTAAGTGAATATACAATAAGCATGTTTTTGTTTGTATTCAGGAAACGGAAGTAAATGGCATCAACTTCTGGTGTTACACAGCTGGGCATGTGCTGGGAGCAGCCATGTTTATGATTGAGATTGCAGGAGTGAAGGTAGATTAAGATTTGAGCTGTAAACGGTCAGGATTTGTGTGTAAAATGCTTTTGGAGTCGAAGATATATTGCTACTGGTAAAGAATGCAGTTGACCAAATGGTTTTGGGTTAGTAGACAGTTTGATCATTCTACAAACTTTGGAAAAAGTATCCCTAGGTGCTAATATTCAGTGTATCTTGTTTTTCCAGGTGCTTTATACAGGAGACTTTTCCAGAGAAGAAGACAGACATCTGTGTGTGGCAGAAATCCCTAATGTCCACCCTGATGTCCTTATTGTGGTAAGTGATGCATTTTGGTAGGTGACAATATATTTCAAATTGAGATAGTATCTTCTCTCTTTGCAGAATGCTTTTGTCTGCTGATCCTGATATTATTTTGATGCTTGTATCTCTTGTGGTGCAAAAATCATTCAGTGTCTTGAATTTGATTGTTGGCCTATAAAACAGTCAAGACCTAAGTATTAGCAGGTGGTTTCTTCAATAATGCTTATAGATATTACTTTCTGTTATTCAGGAGTCCACATATGGTACTCAAATTCATGAAAAAAGAGAGGACAGAGAAGCCAGGTTCACAAACCTGGTACATGATATTGTAAACCGAGGTGGAAGGTGCCTTATTCCAGTGTTTGCTCTGGGAAGAGCACAGGAACTGTTGTTAATTTTAGGTTGGTTAATGTACAAAATAATTTCGATATGTTTGTGTGTGTGTTAAATATTTCCCATATTTTACCAATGTTGATATTTTCTTCTTGTTAAGAAACAAATATGTCACAGGAAAAAGCTTGTTATTTTGCTTTAATATATTTTGTTGAAATTATGTGAATGAAGCTTATATCCCTTGGCATTGAAACATTGAAAAACCACTTTAAACAAGTATTAATATCTTTATTTCTGTCACTTCATTTGTGTAGATTTTTTTTCATAGACAGTTTAAATATTTTCTTAGATGAATATTGGTCAAACCATCCAGAACTTCATGACATTCCAATCTACTATGCCTCCTCGCTGGCCAAGAAGTGTATGAGTGTGTACCAGACCTACATCAATGCCATGAATGATAAGATTCAAAAACAGATTGCTGTCAGCAACCCTTTTGTGTTCAAGCATATATCTAATTTAAAGGTACTGCAGTTTTTCATGTTCAGACACTTTATGTGTCTCTTATTGTATATTCTAATCACTGTGTCTGTCCACATTGACGCCATGTAGTGATCCGTTAATTAGAACTGAGTCTTCTAAATTTGCATACATCAGATATGTATATATTTGTACATTTTAAATTAACTTCTCTTAAACTGCCATGCAACATGTCATGTCTAAGTATATTTGAGTAATTAAAACGTACAAATATATACATATCTGATGTATGCAAATTTAGAAGACTCAGTTCTAATTAACGGATCACTACACATATGTTGTGAACCGTCTAAAATGACTTTAACTTTAATTTATAACTGTACTGAATTCCAGTGTATCAATTTCCATTAACGAATTAACTAATCTATGGGCTCCGACATGACTCCAGATTCGACTCAGTCTTTCACTTTACGTGCACAGAGAAGCATAACAGAACAACCTCACATCTTCAGTCTCAGATCAAAAGTCTCTTTATTATGGGCAAGTTTCAAGTTATATACAGATTATCTACAGGGAATCTATGTGTACATGTGGCTGCTTCTTATTTACATACGTGTACATGTGGCTGCTACTTATTTACATACTAATTGTTGTGCAATATTAACAGGTGATATGCATCTGTCTCAAGCATAGGCCTACCTATGGGCCTTTACAGAAAATAATATTTAAATGTATACAGGACAGACGCAAATTAGATAATAACATGTTGATTAACTATGACTACACAATGTGGAATTTATGCAGGATTCCACACGCCTTCCCCTCTTTATAAAAAATAATGGTACATTATTTTAAAATGACATCAACATGAACAACCTGTATTCCCAGAATATAAAAATCCTTTTAATTAAACCCATTTAAACAGTTGTGCCAAATTTTAAATTTAATCTGTAATACTTGATCTGTAAACATGAATCCTACAAAACAAATTTTACCTTTTCCTGAGGATTAAAATTAAACATCATATTCAACCTAGATACTCTCGCAACAATCACAACAATGGAATAATGATAATTATTATGATATTAACACCGTTTTATGCCCAATTCCGTCCTTATAAATTTTATATAGGATACTTCATAAAATTATATTTTACCAAATATATGTATTCAATTATTATTATTATATCCCAATAATCATTTGCTTTTAAACAAATTACACTTATGACATATACATATTAATGAATGCTCCACTTATAACACGTCATATACAATACTCTGGAATGATACGCAGATCTTCAACAGATTTTGTTTTTCATTCTGTTAGGGTGTCCAGTTCACCCAACCTCTACCAGGAAGACCTGGCAGAGTAACCGGATTAGTCGCCGGACTACTCGACTCTTCTTCTGTAATATGCACTTTTTCGCTGATTTAAAAGTTCGGTATCCGGACTGTTTCAGGGTCTTGTGATGTGGTGTGGGTGTGGCAGTCTTTTCCTTCCAGGACCGTTACGTATCATAGAACTGGACCCTGATCCAGGGTTACAGTGTCGCAGACCTTGACGCTGAAAGAGACCCTTGCCACCAAAACCCATGCAAAAGATTGCAATAAGGACACACCGACACCAAATCCGAAACCGAAGAAACCGATCCCGACAAAAACAATATCCATTACAAATAAATTGTGGTTAATCTAATCCTAACATAGGCATCTATAGATAATCAGTCGTCTCGTCTAGAGGAAAAAAAATTGGAATCATTAATATAACATACATTGTAAAATAGGATTTTCCACATATTTCATCTTTTTTTTTCAATTCGGGGCTGTGGTTCTCCGGAGTGAGGCTCGTCTCACCTAAAGGAAAAAATTAAAGGCTTTAATAAAAAATAAAACATTCAAAAATCAATATCCAGCACTGCCGGACCTACAATTATCGTTCTGACCTGCACTTGCTAGGCCAAATAAAATAAATTTCCTCAAAATTTGTAGGTCTTATGTGTCTTTTATAGTACACCCATACATTTATTAAACATTAAAATATAATCTCATGGACACTCTTCACATCTTGTTTTGAAGTTCCCTTCACTTCTCGACTTTTCCGTCTGGAAAATACAAAGAAAAATACATGTTCATATNTGTGGAATTTCCAACTATTACCGTATTTTACTATTTTATATGGGAGGACGGTTGTGGTCGGTTGTGCTAGGTTGAGGCATTTTCTCTACTTCTATGGTTGAGGACGGTGTACACTGCCACAGCCTCGTTGTGGAATCACCGCCACAGCCTCGTTGCGGAATCCACCTTGAAAATGGCGACCTTGACCCGATTACTACCTCGAAGGGTGTACCACCAGAAAATTCAATAAAACTTCTTTCTGGTATAAAAGTAAGTTTATTTTTACTATGCAAAACCCAAGTGCGATCTCATAGAGGTTTGCCATGCGTCCATTTCGGTCCATTTCGGCCCATTTCAGTCCATTTCTATCCATTTCTATCCATTTCTATGTTTTAAAGGACCGCTTCAGCTGTACTAACCCCCCCCCCCTTCCCAATACTACCATTCGCTATAAGTACATTATGTAGCTGTGAACAGATAACATATTTGAGTTCAGATATCACTGGAAACTCTTTTTTCAGGATGCATATGCTGTTTCTGGTACTCTGAACAATGGAAATGGCAGAGGCATAACAAGGTAACCTCAACTTGTTCAAGACCTCGCTGTAAAACTCCCGGTGCAGTCGAAATTCATATGACTACCGAGCAAAAAGTACAATTTGCAGAATGGTATAAATAATGCATATTTTTTCCAAGATCACTGGAATATCATCCAGTAACTTACAAAGGTTTGATCACGAGCTGGTCGCTCTCTTCGGCGGGAACTTGAAAGTCGGCCCTTCTTTTTGCTGTCATGCTTCTAAACCGGAAACCACGCTTCATGCGCGTAGCATTCTGGGAAATAAACAATATGTCAGCGCCCATGACTAATGCGTAGCTCATGTGAGTTATGACTTGAACCAAGGAGTTATAACAGATGTTATAACTCCTTGCTTGAACTATATTTTGATCGCTTCTCTGTTTTATCAACTCTTCTTTTGTAAATAATTAATTAAGTTAAGTAAAATAATGCACATCTTTATGGTTTAAACCAAAGTTCATCTTTATAGTAAAAGTATTAGCTAAAATTTTCTGACATTAAATTACTCTTAAGTTGGATTAATTGTACACGCTGATTGTTGATATTATTATTAATTTATACACCTCCTTGGAATTTCATCATGAAGCAACATGAACTGCGTTATCATTAAGATAAACTTAAAAATGGTTTTAGCAAACTTTTCTGTCGTTCTAACCGAAATGAAACAGTCTACAGAAAAATGTTTACTGATAATTGTTTAAATTGATGATTATATTTCAGGTATTCAAGATGCATGTAATACATATATGATGCTATCAAAAATAGACATGATGATATTAAGGAGAACTTTGGGTTCAAATTCACTTTTCTCACAGGACTTGGCTCTACGTTATATTTGCCCAGTTAAAGGTGTGGCGGTATTTTCAACTTGGAGTTCATTTTGTTTTGGAAAAGACTTGCCAAAGAGAGAAAGGAGATTGCAGATAAGAGAACCAAGGAAAGTTATATTTTCACAAAAACATTGGTCATGTCCACAAAAGCTTGATCAAAAGAGATGGCTCTCTTTAGGCACATACAGTGACAATGCCCAAAGCAAGATGTTTGCAAACAAATGCCTTTATCACGATTTTTCTGGTAAATGTGCATGTAACAGAACATATAAAATAAGATTTGCTTTACATAAAAGGACCAATGTTATGTACAAAGATTCATTTTTTCAACAAGAAAGGAAATACAGCAAATCGAATCTATATTTACCACATTTAACAAGTGCTTCAATTTTAATGTCTTCAGTCAAGGCTAAGCAAAGTTATAATTGTCAACAAGAAAGAACAAAAATGAAGACTGCAAAAGATTTGTTTGGATTCTCTTTAAATGATAAAGAAGTAAGAAGAGTTTTAGAATGCACCTGCAGAGAATATGAGCAAAATGAGGAGGTGCTGGAAAAGAGCTATACCAATTTTGATTCTGGAGAAAAGAGAAATGCAAGAGAAAATCTTTTAAGGGAAGCTTCTCTAGTTGAGAAATACCTGGAATTTATAGAAAAAGAGAATGAATTGAAAGAAATGGATAAAATGCTAAAAGGCAAGTTTAAATAAGTTTTGCATATTGATATAGTGCAGAAGATCAATTCTAAATAGCATACAAGTATACTATTACTTAATTTTTATGTTGGTTATTTTTTGGAATCAAACTTTGTGCTAACATTGAAAGGGATTATGATGATTGTAAGGCACGTTTAGATTTTAATTGGAATGTGTTATAAAATAAATTGTTATTATAATTATTATGAATTTTGTGTTAAGTTAAATATTGGTGTTTCTTACAAAATTTTTTTAAAGAATTTATTTTTGTTTCTTCAATTCAGAAGATGGAAAAGAAGATAAAGATATAGCAAAGATGTTAAAAAAAGAAAAAGAAGAAAATCTGAAAGCTATGGATATACTTGAAAAGGAGGTAACTTTCAATTGGAAACTTAAGTACAAGTTAATAATGAAATGGTCAGTTAAATTGCTCTTAAATGTATTGAGGGTTGAAAAATGAAGGCTAATACATTTACTTATTTTGTGATTTTCTGGAGGTTAAAGCATTTGCTATGTATAGCGATCTCTAGGAGCAAAATTTGATTAGACTTTAATGAGTTTCAATAAAAAAGTCACCATGATAATTAAACATGAATTTATGTTTATTGTGGTGTTAATTATAGTTTTAAACTTCACACCAAAACCTCTGTGGATTAATGTGGAGATCACAGTGCCATACTAATATTTATATAGCACATTACATATGCTGGACATCAAGTCATAACTTTTTACAAATAAATATCCTTTCTGTTTCAGATACTGACACTATTGGTTCCACCAAACACTGGTCCCACTGACGACTGTGATGTAATAATGGAGTTCAGTTCAGGGGCTGGTGGACAAGAGGCCATGTTGTTTTGTGCAGAAATTTTTAGTATGTATCAGAGATATGCTGCATACAAAGGATGGATATTTGACATCATACGCTATGAGACCCAGCAGTCTTCCTCTTCTGTTGTATTGAGTAAAGCTAGTGTGGCTGTGTCAGGCCCTGGTGTGTATAGATGTTTGAAATATGAAGGTGGGGTGCACAGAGTGCAGAGGATTCCTCTCACTGAGAAAGGAAGTCGGATTCACACCAGCACCATGTCTGTTGCTGTTCTGCCACAGCCCTCAGATGTAAGTATAGAACTGTTGAGTGCACCCAGTGTTCCTTCCATTTCTTCATATATATGTACCTTGCCATACTTATTTACCAAATATGTCATACACTATTTTTGTTAATATAACTAGGTAACATAGGTATGCGAGCCCTTACTCATACTCATATTTCCAGTCCCGCAAGCCCACAGGCACATTGATTTATGTTTCTGCCCTCATTAAGTCTTCACATAGTGTATGCCTCTCAGAAAGCAGTTTCAACACATGGAAAAACCAGGCAGAAACCTTGCTGCTGTATTCTGTTTCCTTTTGTCCAGTCACTCAGCATAATTAACTTTTTTCAGCTGCATTTTATGTAATAATGTAAAAAAAAGTACGACAAATATTGAGGAGAATCATAGAAATAACAATAGTTCAAAATGTTACAGTTTGGTTAAATGGTGTATTCATTTCAACATGCTAAAACATTGACAGTTCTGAGTAAAACATTTCATGCTGTCATGTACTTGTATTGTGTCCACTTCAGTGTTTTCTCTTTATATGTATGGAATTTAAATATATGGAATTTACAAGGTTAAAGTTTTGATATTTTACCCCTTACATTTCAGATTGATGTGCAGTTGAACTCTTCTGACTTGGAGATCCAGACAATGCATGCTTCAGGTCCTGGAGGACAGCATGTCAATAAGACAGAAAGTGCTGTAAGAATAAAACACATACCAACTGGTAAAGTACCTGTACATCACTTCATATTTGGATTTCAAAGTTAGAATATCAGTTCTTTGTTTTAGATTTGTACTCTAAATAAAATGGGACATGGATCTATTAGCAGTTCGTTCATTGTTTGCTGCATTGTTTGCTTGTTTGGCTAGTAGATGACACATTTGAAAACGTCCCCCAAGGCAGTGAATTTAGTTTGAATCAAGTGAGATTTTGCAAGATTTGGCCAAGAATTCACTCAAAAGTCATGGCAGATGATCCAGATTTTTCTTATTTTCATCATCATACTTATAGGCCTGGTAGTCAGTTCCCAGCGGGAGCGAAACCAACATCAAAATCAAAGCCTAGCGTTGAAGATGCTAAGATCTATGTAAGTATTTTTTTCTTAATTTTTGGTGTCCTAAGGCTAAAAAAATGTGATTCAGATATTGAATCCCCTCTATTTTTGAAAATGGTAGTTTTGTAAAATTGGTGGAACTATGTTTAATAATAGAAAGTGATTTCAAGTAATCTTTTATTTTTGTTATGAATTACATTTAAGCAAATTGAATTTTGCAATTTTAGTTTAATGTCTGCAATATTTTAATGGACAGGCTTTACAACAAAGAGCTTGAAGAAAGACAGAGCAAATTCAACTCACAAAGAAAACTACAGGTTGGTGGTATGGACAGATCAGAAAAAATACGCACGTACAACTTCCCCCAGGACAGAATCACAGACCATCGTGTCAAGGAAACCTTTCATGGGGTTGAGGATTTTATGGAGGGAGGTGTTGCTTTAGATGATATAGTGGAGATTCTGCAGCAGGAGGCCATGAAAGAGAGATTAGCAGAAAGATTAAAGGAATATGAAAATAATCAGCAGCCTAAAAAGAAATCCTCATAATATTATTTGTCTACAGTTAAAAGCTGTTTACTGGTATTGCAGCAACATAACCTTCTTGCTTTCTGCCTTTAACAACTGTAAATTAAATTTATCCCCCAAAGTGTACAGAAAAAAGTACTCTGGAACATCAGCCTGGCTTCATACTCTGATAGCATGAAAAGAATAGGAAGAATACCCTCTATCTACAGTATTCGTTTACTGGATATAAAATATGTCAAACATCCACAATAGGTGTTTCCAGCCAATTAATTAATTAATTAATTGCTGGTGTACTACTCTCTGCTAGGGCTGCAAATAATTATGTTCACTTTTTTCCAACGCGTCCCTGTAACTTTTGTCCAGATGGAAGCAAGTAAAACTGCATGCATGCAGATGAGATTGTATCTGCTCTGCAGGAGCTGGGCTTCTTGCTGATATGATAAATGTTTGTTAAGCAACCTGGCCCCTGTAACTCAAAAGCATCGCGTATTGCGAATAGCAATATCACATAGAGGCTACTATGTATTATATGGGGCGAGTATGGGTGAGTTAAGGAATCGAGACGCTTGCGCTCACTCACAATGTTTTCAGGTTACTGGCCCTGGCTTGGCTTGGCTGTCTGCTGAAACAAGTCGTGGTTTGAGGAAACACTCTGAAATATCAAGCTTATTCTTATTTTTATTTGTCACAGAAGAGCAAGTTATTAAGGTCAGAGCAATTAACTGCCTTGATTACTATCAGGGGACTTGGAAGGGACTTGTTAAATGACAGTGCCTCAGTAGTTGTGCAAACAATTACCAGCTAGTAATCATCCTTGAGATTTCATTACAGGGTCACAGTTCAGAAAAGTTCCATCAATTCATCCAGAGACATATCAGTGAATATCTACTAAAAATCTATCTGCGGCCCAGGTAGAGGGTACTGCTTTACAGTTATTTCATGAAATGAAGCAAACAACAGAGATATGTTTTAGATTTTATATGAATTTAATTTTCAAAAATAAAATTTCTGTATACACTGTTGATGTTTCAATAAATTAATCAATTAATTAGTTAATTTGTTGATAAGCATACAAACAGCAAAACACAGCTAAAGTTTTTCAATACCTGAACAGTGCAATAAAATATATTTTAATTCATATAGCAGTTTTCATTTTGGTGAAACGATTGTACATATCCTAACAATAAAAAAACAGAAACATCCTGGCCTTTATTCTGGTTTTCTTTAGAACAAAAATTATATCTTGGACGGTACCATATATAAAATGTTACTCTGGTTTCAATATTACATAACTTGAATTCAAATGAAGAACAAATGTCAAGATGTTTCATTTTATATTATCTGTCAGATATATGAAAATTTATAAGGAAATGCACTGTAAAATATACAGTAATGTTCTAGATCAGCTTTATTTTAGTGAATTTATCCTAAATTTATCTTCAGGAAACTAGCCCTAGAAGAGTAGACACTTGGAACAAATTTTTAAATGCAACACAAAAACTATAACAAAAGAACACATTCACACAAAACGTTTGGTAGTGAAATTCATTTCACAAACACTAAAGATACAGGCACACACACATAAAAAATAATGTAAAATCTGGCTTCAATAAGAAACGTCAACAAATATGGAAATGCCTGAACCACTCCAGTATATACAAGTGGTTTCATTAAAGAAGCTCGCTTGTAAAAATTGTCAACATGAATAAATATTTATCAGCAGAACTATTATAAATTCATCTCTACAAATAAGTGTATAGATATAATTCAGTTGATTGCTAAAATAAAAAGGCCAGCAAGTACATTGTGTTATAGGGCTCTCCTTAATTATGATACCTTTAACCGAGTTTCACTTTTTTTTCTTTTTTGTCAACCCGAAAAACACTACTGACTGATTCATCTTCCTCCTGCACATCAATGTTTGGTTAACACCATGAAAGAAAGCCCCTAATACACTATATTAGCCCTTTCAACTTTCAGACATTTTATACATTTAAAGGGCGCAATGACATCAATTTCATGAATGTCATACATAGTCAGGCAGGATTCATGTTGGAAAAAAAAATTTTATTATAATAATTAATATTCTTCATAACTATTATGCCCTCTTTAACTTTCTATCACAGAAATCAATAAAAAAGTAATGAATATAAAACTATACATCTTGGACATGTCTTTCATAGTGGTTATGAGTGTTATTGACAACCACAAGTCTAAAAGCTCCCAGTATCACGGCCACCTGGCGAGCAAATCCATTGATGATATCTATCAAGGGATTAAGTCCAGTCCGTAAGGCTACAAATAAATTGTATAAAAATATAGAAACTGGTTGCAAGATACCATTAAAGATGGCTGACAAGACTGGTTTGATGAGGTAGTCCCCAGTAACGACTAGGATCCCAACAAGAATTGGATGAAGGATGTGTCGCATCACAAATCTGTATAGCTCCACCACAAATATAATGAAGAATCCAACAATAAGCCTTAGGACACCAAAAAACTCCAAGGCAATCCTCCTTGAGATCATCTCTGCCCTGAAAACAATAAAGCAAACCTTGAAAATCTTTAATTTTCTACATATGAAATGCCTTACATTTACAGTAATACACTGGAACTGTTTAAATCTGTATCATCAGGTGAATTCTTGAACAAATCTGTTTTTTAGATATGAATATCTTTTACCATAACCTACAATAAGTCATTTCAAATGTAAAAAAAGGTCTAAAACATGGGGTGTAAATGCTTTTACATTGACAAAAAGCTGGAAATCCAATGAAATGCGCTTACTTGTCTGCAATCTTTGGCAGAGCTGCATCTACCTCATCTGGCCTGGCTGCATAGTACTCTGTGCTACTGTCTTCAAAGTAGTACACATATCTGGGGGGAAAAGGATGACCATTACCAACAACTATTGAGAAGATAAATCTCCTTATAAATGCATTTTGTGTTAATATATTGCAACCTTAAAATAACTGCACTCCAAACTTGTATAAAGCAAAACTGCAGATTACAAACTAAATTGAAAGCAAAGGGGGCAGAGTTTTTATATTAAAATTGTAAAATGTGAATATAATAATTTTTGGTTTTTAATCAACATGATATATTCAAATTTCACATTTCTAACACTTGTAAAATAATTGAAATTTGCCATCACACACAGAAATGGTGGCAATGAAACCAACTAAATGAAAAAACTTATCAAGCAAATGCATTCTGATTCATTGTTTTGAATGTGTTGAATACAAAATGTGAATTTGACAATCCATGGAAAAAGTACTTCAAATGCTATGAAAATCCACTTCATAGCTAAGAGTATTTCATGTTAAAAAATTGCCCTCTTTGCTATTAAAATGTAAACTGTAAAAATGAGATTAAAGGTCAATACACATACCAATATCATGAGAATTAATGACTAATTTAAAAGTTAAAATTATTACATTTTTATAATGAAAAACAAAATTTCATTTATCAGCATTATAGTCACTTGGTGTGTATGACTCAAAACCATGATTATTGAAAAATAATTTCAAAAACAAAAACATACTTATTATCATCAGGATCAGTGTGATGAACTACTGTTTTGACTTTTCTCTCTTTCTTTATTTGGTTTGGATCCTTTCCATTTACGTCTTCATTAGGCTTACTAACTACAGCAAAGTGGTGCAGAGGAGAGGTGTTGTCTTGCTCAGGCATATTTTCAACTAGAACTTCTTGTGACGTATTAGCCTATGAAAATATGAAAGTCCCAAGGTTATAAGCTGGAAATTAGCAACAAAAATTGTAATAAAACCACAAGCATGTTATGTCACATGTGAAGTCTGACATACACATCAATATTTATTGTAAAATGAAGACTAATAAAGTAACAACAGATTCTTCAGTGAACAGCTTGGAATTATACTCAACCAATTTATGTCTCCTTAAGGAAATCTAACTGATATACATTAACAATACTGTTACTTGACACTGTGCAGTCATCCCCCTTCCTCCTGTCTCTGTCCTAATGCTTAAATCACTGGTAGGTAAGGTCGCATTCAGAACAGATGATCCTCAGATCTACTGGTCTGCAGATCAAATATGGGGGATTGTACATGAAAGCAAGACCGCCTAATCTTTTAATGGTCTCCCCACTTCCACGTGGAGTAAATTTCGCCTTTATGGTTTTACTGCTAGGCCCCTGCAGGGAAGGCACATATGGAGGCAGGGAGGGATTAGGCGGATTATTTGTGTCATCTTGCTTTTTTCATTTCTACATGAATGACATAAATTACATATTTCCTTTTACCTGATGTTTTGGACTTTTCTTGAATTTCTGACTGAGTTTACTTCCAAGGTTTTTGAAGCTCTTTAAAGAACTTCCAGACTTTTGATTTTGGTCCTCTGGTTCTACATCTATTCAAACACAAGACATAGGTTTTAAGATAATTCTTTTTCACTAGTGCTCCAAAACAATGATTAAAATTCTCTTGTTTTAAACAAAAATCAATACTTTTCCCATTGCAGTAAGTGAGTAAACGTGTAAGTTGTTTAGAGAAACATTACTAACTGAGAACAAAAAACAACATATAAATTCTGTTAAATATTTTTTTATAAATAAAATTTAGAATTGAAAAAAATAATGGTACATATATTCAATGGTACATATCAGGAAACACTTCAAAGTTTGAAAGAATATTTGCCACTTAAATCAAAATTTTAAAGTCTGAAATTAGCTTTGAAATACCAATATGTAATGATAAAAGCTAATTTAGACAAATATAAAGTAAAGATGGAAATAATGGAAAACTCGAGATTTAAGAGATAGGAAGCTAATAAACAATGTGGCTTAGTACCTATAGTGGTTTGGCCTTTCTTCAAATCCTGGCGCAATTCTGCTAACACCCTTTCCTCTGCCTCTGAATCATCCCATGAATCCAGAGCTGCAAGCAATTAGTATTCATAACATTGATTTTTTGTAATGCACATAATAATATGTAAAAATGTTAGATACAAAGTAGTTATAACTTAATGAAAAGTGAACCAACCAGTAGTCTTAGAGTAAAGAGGACATTCCTGAGCAATTGTTAACCATGTTTCCTTCTGAAAACTTTTCAAATATCAGAAATCAAATCCTGCCTTTCATCAATCACCATTTCCTGTCATTTTTTCAACAAATTAAAATGCATGTTATGAAATCAAAAATACATCCAAGATATCTTCTCATGAGGTGATACCAATGTATTTTTCTTATTTAAAAGAAATATTGTACTTAGAGAGCGTGCTGTGAGCAAACTGAGAAGAACAAACTTGTTTCCATAATATCTTACCTACTGTGTCCCCACTTGCAGCTGTTGGGCTCTGGGACTCGGTTCAGGATCATATGTATTTCCTTTGCGATCTTTACCTGGAGGTCTGGAAGCAGGCTGCTCACGATCCCTGGGAACTGAAATACAATAAAATCCCTTTGATTTTTTTTTAACAAAAATCAAACACAAGTTAATTTCTGTAAAATGTCTGCGCAATATTAATTATGCTTTGAGGGCAAAATTTCACCTGTTAGAGCTCCTTTGAAATCATAAGGGGGAGTTTCTTCCTTTTGATTTCTTTTGGTTCTTTTCTTTGACTTGTTAGGCTGTGACTGGGAAATTGAGACGGACACACTCTCCTCTTCACTGTCACCACCACGATCAGTGAAAGTGAATCCTCCCAAAGGATCGCTGATAATAAAATATAATTATGATCACAATAAAAAACACTCTTAAGCTTCAACTTTGATTCTGACAAGCAGAGCAGCCATTTTTATGGGTGCTTTCAAACAATTCAAATGACCGCAAGTTAGAAGCTCCAGGAACAGTGGTCAAAAAAAAAAAAAAAAAAAAAAAATTTAAAAAAATAAATAAATAAATAAATAAATAAATAAATTAATTAATTAATAAATAAATAAATAAATAAGTTTTAAAAAATTATTAGTCTGAAGGTTTATTTGCCTGAAAGATCAATTGTAAAAAAGGTCCTTTGCTCTAAAGATTTGTTACTCTTAAAGTTATCCTCAAAATACACTTTGTTGAGAGTTAGCAGCATATTGGTTGAATGCAGAAATTACCAAAGAAAACTGCTTCCTTTATCTTTTTTGTAGTTTAAATGGAGCCAACATCCTGCTAAAAAATCTGTAACCATGAGATAATGAGGTACCAGGCCAATCAAACCTTGGAACCAATAAACTTCATTAAGGTTTTTTGCTCTATCAAAGTAGACCCATTTTATGGTCCAGCATCACTATGTATAAAGGTTAAATAAATCACCTTGCAGTATCTTATGTATGATGTGAACCAAGAAGATAAAAAGCATATCAGAAAACAAAGCAAAAAAACTATTGCAATGCAGATGGCAAACTTGTAATACTTACTTGGGCTTTTCCTTTCCAGCTTTTTTCCCTCTTCCCTCTCCATGTCTTTTTGACTTTTGGGGCTCAGACTGCCTCGGTGATTTCATACCTGAAGGACAAAAATATTTTGTTGTTCATACTTCTCACTTTGTTTTTTTTAAACTAGTAACTTCATATCTGATGCTTTAGATTAATTAACATATATTCTAAACAGCTAGTGCATTCAATGCTAGAAATGAGCTTCTGCATTCTATTTAACACAAGCTTTCAATACTAAGCTACCAAGTACCAGTAGGTAAAATATGAATAAACCATGCATTAAGGAAAAGCAGTTACTTCTATCAGCAGGTGTAGGCCTTTTTCCCGTTGTATCTCTGACAGGCCTTTCATCTGCAGAGCTCCCCTCTATCTTTGGAACATCCTGGATGACTTCTGAAGGGCTGTCCCACCCAGAAGCCTCGTCACTCTCAGAGTTTCTTCTTTGGCCAAACTGCACAAATAACATGATAAACATTTCTTTTACTAAATTTCAAAAGCTCCTATGAATTATTTGTGACTTGACAGCCATGAACAATCAAAGCAAAGCAGGAGATGGCATATAGCCAAGTGCTGGAAAACAGTCACTGTGTTAAAACTTACCTTAAAGTAAAAAGTGGTCAAGTGGAATATACTGAACATGTACAGTATATGGCTTCTTATTGTAAAACTCATTTTTGGCCATATAATCTCCTGTTCAGCTTTGCCTTATTTGCTGATGCTTGTTGGGTCGAGAATTATTTACTAGTAATGAAGTTTGAACATGGAGCCATATCTTTTATGATAAAACTACTCTACCAAATGGTATAAGAGGTAATGGTGTATATATGGCAATTTTAATAAATGTGTTATAAATACAAACTGATTTTGATTTTATTAATCAATGACTTTATTTATCGTAATGGAAGCCTTGGGTGCCAGTATAAATTACTAGTAAGGTCATTATTTGAGGTTTTAAAATTCACCAACCAATCAAGATTTTCCTGTTGTGGCAAATTTCGCAAGTCGACTGTGATCAACTACAATTTTCTTTAAAAAACGACTAATATCTGTCCTCATCTTTCAAATCATAAAATTTAAAAAAAAAAAAAAAACAAAAATTAACCTTCTTGAGAGCAACAGTTATTTTATAAGTCGAAAGTTTGTATTTGACCTTGGAATCAAACTAGTAGACTTCTAATTTCATTCAGCTGTTAAACAATTCATCCCAACTTCTTCTCAACGGGCGCTACCCAAGAAGTTTCCAAATCGATATAGTAATTTAATCAGAAAAGACTAAATGACAATTAAATCATCGAGTGCCTTTACAAATTAGAAACAGTCTAGAGATATAAAGCATTTCCATAAATCAATGCATCAACTTACCATTTCAATACTCGTAAGTTTCAGCTGTCACGTTCACCCCGATAAAGTTAGAGGTACCATGATAAAGCATAACTCAAGATTGATCAGAATATAAAAACCGATCGTTTGTTATGCTGACCTTCACCTTATGATCGATATCGAGGCAGCTTGTCTTCCTGTCGGGATGGGGAGCGCTACAAATTTGAACGATCTTGTGTTAAAATTGTTCGAGATTGGTGCTGTAAAATTTGGTAATTTCACTTTAAAAAGTGGAATACAATCGCCAGTGTATTTTGATCTAAGAGTGATAATATCTTATCCGGATTTAATGGTAAAATGATGTTTCTATGATCTCAAAACGTGAATGCATTGCTACCGAATGAATGAATGAATGAATGAATGAATGAGAACACGTGTTTTTCCATTATTTGTTATTATTGTTTTACGTTCTTGTGCTACCTTCTTTCGTTCAGGTAATAATTTTTCTCGGTGTAATTTTCAGATAAGACCTTTTTATTACCGCTTAAACAGAATATTAATTTTCATTTGATAAAAAAATTAACCGATTACAGTGACGTCATATTTGCTCCNTTTTTTTTAAAAAAAGCAAAAATTAACCTTCTTGAGAGCAACAGTTATTTTATAAGTCGAAAGTTTGTATTTGACCTTGGAATCAAACTAGTAGACTTCTAATTTCATTCAGCTGTTAAACAATTCATCCCAACTTCTTCTCAACGGGCGCTACTCAAGAAGTTTCCAAATCGATATAGTAATTTAATCAGAAAAGACTAAATGACAATTAAATCATCGAGTGCCTTTACAAATTAGAAACAGTCTAGAGATATAAAGCATATCCATAAATCAATGCATCAACTTACCATTTCAATACTCGTAAGTTTCAGCTGTCACGTTCACCCCGATAAAGTTAGAGGTACCATGATAAAGCATAACTCAAGATTGATCAGAATATAAAAACCGATCGTTTGTTATGCTGACCTTCACCTTATGATCGATATCGAGGCAGCTTGTCTTCCTGTCGGGATGGGGAGCGCTACAAATTTGAACGATCTTGTGTTAAAATTGTTCGAGATTGGTGCTGTAAAATTTGGTAATTTCACTTTAAAAAGTGGAATACAATCGCCAGTGTATTTTGATCTAAGAGTGATAATATCTTATCCGGATTTAATGGTAAAATGATGTTTCTATGATCTCAAAACGTGAATGCATTGCTACCGAATGAATGAATGAATGAATGAGAACACGTGTTTTTCCATTATTTGTTATTATTGTTTTACGTTCTTGTGCTACCTTCTTTCGTTCAGGTAATAATTTTTCTCGGTGTAATTTTCAGATAAGACCTTTTTATTACCGCTTAAACAGAATATTAATTTTCATTTGATAAAAAAATACTTAAATATGCTTAATTTTACTAATCATTTTGTTTATCCATTTCTCAGAAGTTTATAAAAAATTTTACAGATAGACGTCTCAGAACATTTATATCAAGCATCAAAAACAGGTTCTACTTACCAGTCTGTGTGTGGTGTGCCGTATACTGCCTTACCCTTAGCCACAGTTTGTATCATTTATAATACTAAAGTTCTGTTTAACCTTTCATTTTGCATAATTTGTTTATGCACACTTGCACTTAAATACCATGAAATTTTATTAGAGCAAATATGAGAGGGTATATACACAAGGAATCTTTCTTTTTGTGATAATTTAATGAGTTGTCATTGGATGTACGTCACATGCAATTATCTTATAGACTAGTGAATATATTTTAGTATATTAATATTTGCAGACTCGTAAATTTTTTTTTTTTCGATTCAAAATCCATAGACCGATATATTGAAATGTTTTTTCAGTGTATCTCTACTGCTCATAAGTTCCCCATGTTAATACGTAGAAAGGAAGCCAAGGACTATGGAACCAAGAAGATCATAGAAGGTCACTACAAGCCTGGAGATGTGTGCTTAGTTGTAGAAGATGTTGTAACCAGTGGATCAAGTGTTTTGGAGACAGTTTTGGTATGGGTTACACATATTTCAAGAGTATGAAAAATGCTTGACTGACCCTTGTAAACTAAAGTTCATCTCTGAATCATGTTACTTTACATTGTCTTCAGAATGTTTAAGAAAAGTTTCAACTTTGGTAAGTTGATGGACACATAGAAGTTATGTTGCAGTGTATGATTCTAAAAATTATTTTATTGCAGTGCACTCATCTGTAAAGCACTTTTTGTAAAGCACTTTCCAATTTCAGAGGGAAAATCCCATCTTGGTGCTTATTTCTATTTATCTTCAATATTTTTACAACTTTCTCTGAAATTTACAAATGAAATGAGCTGAAATGAGATGAGGTGCAATAAATAGATAAATAAATGAAAATAGAACTGCATTTCTTTTTGCAGTCTCTGCAACAAGAAGAAATTAATGTGACAGATGCTGTTGTGTTGGTGGACAGGGAACAAGGTGGCAAAGATATGCTTAAGACCAAAGGAATTAAACTGCATAGGTAAATGATATGTTTTATTATATTTTGGCCAGAATGTACTTTTTCAGTTTTCAGAATTGCTATTCTCATGTAACATGGAGTATTGACTAGCCCAAAATATGAAGTGCTATTACCAATTCATACAGAGTCAAGTATAGTGTGCTTACATATTTTAGTTTTAATTTTAATCACAACATATTGCATTAATCTTTATATTATTTATGGTTGTTCAAAATGAAATGGTGAATCAAAATGTAGTCCGTATGTGAATATACTTTTGTAAAAGTGGATATTCAAATACTTTTTTCTAAAAAAAAAAAAAAAGCACGCACTAACTCATTTTGAGTAGCCCCTAATTCTGAACAGCGCCTTTGCAAGACAATAGAATTAGGTAAACAGATTAATGTTCCATAAAACATGTCCTTTTAAACATGTTTATCTTTTAACTAATTTTGATAATTAAAACTTCTTTTTCTAGTGTCTGTACTATAACACAAATTTTGGAAGTTCTTGGCAATATGGGAAAGCTGGAGCAAGATGTAATAAACAGGACCAAGCAGTTCATCCATGACAATAGATTTAATCCCAATGGAAATGTGAAAAGGAGTCCAGAGGATGAAGGAGGAGACAGAAGCATCAAACGAGTTAAGAGGGTACCATTCTTTTTGCATGCTTGGTGTTGGGATCTCTGATGTAATGCTTTAAATTTGTAAATGGATGTGCAGATAACAAGTTGACTGATCTACTCACCTTTTGACTTCTGATCCTCTTACCGGAATGGCACTACAAGTAACAATGTGAAACACTGCATGCCTCTGATAATACTTTTTTTTATAATATAAGAATTAAAAGAATAAACAGCATGTTGATAATGGAATCCTAATCAGGTAACATAACTCAATATGCAGTACTTATTGTAAATACCAGTACATGTATGATTTCCACTGTTGTAAGATAATATTCAAGGGGTTGTATTACTTCCAACTAAAATTACTGCTTGCAGATAGGGCATGCAGTGTATGTTCAATTGTTGGAATGATGTTATGTCACATTAAAAGTTCAGTACATTGACTCTATATATTAGTTTCTGACATGTTTTATTTACTTTTTTAA